TTTATTATAAGGCTGCTGGTAGTTTCAGTCAAATCAATAAATTATGGAGAAAATAGATGTCTGAGACAGGTGGCAAGTTCTTCAGCATCAGGATATGTTCAGTTTAATGTGAGTTATCAGGATATGTTCAGTTTAATGTGAGTTATCAGGATATGTTCAGTTTAATGTGAGTTATCAGGATATGTTCAGTTTAATGTGAGTTATCAGGATATGTTCAGTTTAATGTGAGTTATCAGGATATGTTCAGTTTAATGTGAGTTATCAGGATATGTTCAGTTTAATGTGAGTTATAGAAGCTAAGGAGATCGATTTTAAGAAGAGAGTTGAATGTTTATTGTCATAGATCCAACTTAAGAAATGTCCTTTTTTTAGCAGAGTATTAACAATCATTTAAAATCGATTCATTTTCAAATCAATGTTTGTGTTAAATAATTGATTTCTTTAGTAAATAGCTGTGTATTAAGCCTGATTATGTGTGAAGGCAGGTCATTGTAGTAATAAACCATGACAATGTTAGTGCTGAAGTCTGTCCTGCGTCACTCTGTCAGGACTTCTTTCCACCATTTTGTTCCCATCCAGCTGTACTTTGTCCCTTACTGGTGACTTGCGGTTTATGTTCATCACATCTAACATCATATGTCTGACACATCCATGGAGATGAACATGAACACACAGTTTACTTATCAGAATCTGAGAGACTTTATTGATCTACATTGTTGTTTCCCACCGCTCGCCTTTTGGCTTCACATGCAGGCTTATCATCGGTAACATCAGGAGCTGGCTTCAGCAGGGATATAAGCTCTGCTGTTTTCTCAGTTGTCTCACCCCTTAGTAATATTGAGACGCTGTGGCAGCCTCTATCTCTCCCATCTCCTCTGTCAGAGAATCAAGAACAGACAAATGACATTATGCTGTAAGAGCACCGTTTCCTCCAGATTGCAGTCTCACTGTCTCTTTTCCCAGCCCCTTTAATTTAAAAGTTTAAAAGCTTCTCTCCACAATAAACAACGACACAGCACATGAATAAAGCACAGTTCTATTTTAAAACACAGACAGCCCATTGCTTCCCTTTTTAACTACAAACATTTAAAGCAGTAGAGCTGAATGTGTTCTGTGGTCGATACGTCTCTACTGCGTCCTGGTGAAGCTTTAATTAGATTAAAGTATTTAATGAAATTGAATAATTTCTCATATTGAGTGATGGGGTCAGCTGCTGCAGTTAATAATGTCTGTTCATATTGTACAAGTGTGCCATGATATTCAGTGTTACGATGTTGTTATGCCTCTGTCTCACAAGGTGACAAACATGTCTGAAGAACTCACCATCCTAGAGAGCTGTCTGAAGGAGGCAGAAACAGGAAATGATGGTCAGGAGGATGTGTGTATGTCAGACGCAGCGCAGACCAACACAGAGACGGCGATTCAATCACTGATAGAAAGCCTGAGAGCCAGAGACTTCAGCTCTGCCCTCTCTCAGGTCAAAATCTTCAGGTAAGATGAAAAGAAATCCGCAGACATACATCAACCACTTCTTCACTTCATAAGAAACGTCCACAAATGTTTGAATTAACTAAGCAGAAAACCCCAATCAAAAGCTATAGTAAAGCAAGGAGTTATTTTATGAAGAAATGGCATTTAACAATATGTCTCGTTTTAATTTGTAATAACATGCATACCATTACAATTTGACACTGATTAGGATTTACATCCTTTGGATGAAAGGCCAAACCATTTTAATAGGGGGCTTTTTTAATGATCTACTTTCAGACAAATCTTGTTGTCGTTTTTTTTGCAATGACTTCTCCTTTTTAAAAAACGGACTGCTGTAATAATATACTGGTAAATACAATTCTACTGGCCATTTCATTTTCAACATCCCAAAACCTAATGCAGCTCTGAGAGTAAAACTGTTTTTGAAAGGTAGATTTTAAACTTTTCCTTGATATCAAAAAGCTGTTATGACATGTGTCTAATTCTGCTCAGATGTTGGTTAATGTTTAGAATGGTGCTCTAAGCTTTTCTCCAGTGCAATAGTGCAATGCATGCTGATTGATATGAACGATGACACTCAGTTTCCAGAAAATAAACAAAGCAAAAAAAAAAGTCAAACAAAATGAATATCACACACATGTTCATTCCACTGCTGGAAATGTGTAGTCAGCTCACCCTCCTTTATCCGATCAGGTCTTTGTGGCCCGACGACATCTTCGGTAACGAGACAGACGATGCAGTCCAGACCCTCCTGCACATCTACTTCCGTCACCAGACGCTGGGTCAGACGGGCTGCCTGGCAGTGGTTGGCCCCAGCAGGGACCTGTCTCAGGCCAGCACCCGCCTCATGGAGCTCAACCTGCAGATCCGAGAGGCTCTGAGCCAGGCTCAGGCCTGCCAGACCCACACCACCATGGTCAGCACGGGACTGTGAAGCTGTGGTACTGCAGGCTGCAGACCTGGACTAGACTGGACACAAATACCCCCCTTGCTCTACACAGACCTCACCTCAGCTGTAGAGAGAGGGTAGACAGTGAGGGGCATCAGAGGAGGACAAGAAAGACTCCACCTACAGTATAAAGGGCTAAAGGATGTGTGGGAATAACTGTGACTCTTAACATATATTATTACATGTATGAATGCTTAAAGCTAACATCTTTTCCCAGACGAAGCCAACCTGCAAAATTCAGTTGCAATAAGTCATGTGGTGGTGTGTTTGGAAAAGAAGACAGGGCGCCGTGTTTTTTTTTTCCTATTGTTTTTTATTTTTGTTTTTGCTGGATCTGACCCGATTGGTCCATCGCATTGAGCAGTGGTCTCCTCGGGTCCTGGGCTGAAAGCCTGCATCGGAGCTTGTAAGACCAGTCCAGAGGTGGTGTTGATTGTGTGAGGATGCACCTTCAAGATTCATAAGCAAACACAGGAAAAAAAAAGTTTTGAAAAGCATGCTTGAAAGAGAGAAGCACTGCAAGAATATTTTTTTGAGAAATGTATTTTTTATTAGAGCTAACATCCTAGGTTGTAAATGTTAGGATATTTAACATGTAACCCTGTGGGAAGCCTTCAGGGAGTGTAAAAAGAGAAATATATCTGTTTATTGATCTGATTTGAGAGGAGAGTCCCTTGAACAGGTCTTCACGCAAATCTCACTCTTTAACCAAATAAGTAGCTGCCTTTAGACTGTGTGATATATATTGGATATTCTGGTATATACGCTCACACACATGCATATAATTGCACATGAGTGCAGACTGGCTACAAATCATTATGGAAACATAACTTATTTTACTCTGTATATATTTTAGAAAATGTATAGTGTAAAACCAGTATTTTTCCCTTGTACTTTTGTGTAATGCACTGTTCATCCGGGTAGGATGTCTGTATAAAGCTAACAAGATGAGAGAAAGCCAAGACCAGGTCTGAGTCTTTAATGATCCGCTCCACCTTTTTTCATTCAATCACACAAACTTCAAAATTTCCCAAAGGCTGCCTTGGTTGGTGCTGGTTGTGGTCTTGCAAAAAGCAGGGTCAGGGCACATCTGGGACAGGCCACCAGCGCAAGTAATGTTGATGGCATGGGAGATCTGATGTAGCCGCCATCTCCTGTTGGACCACAACAACAATCCACCCAAGCCATATGCATTCCCTCTCTCCACTGTGATCTTTGTTTGTCTCTTCTGCATCAGCTCTGCTTAAATGAAGGGGAGAATAAGGTTTGTGTTTGTCCATGTAGGTTGATCACATTTGCAAAGCAGTTTTCCTGTTTCATTGAAGCTTTGCTCTGCTTTCAGAATGGCCCTACTTGCTGCTGTGACTGCAGGACATGAACCTTGATCTGAACGCTTTCTGGAAACTTGTCATGGCACATTGTAACAGTCACTGTACTCATTCCTCAGAGAGCTTTTTTTTCCTGCTTGTCTGGTACATTTGAATGCTGTTCTTAATTATTTAATGAATATATTATTTACCTGGAAGATGTTTTAATGTAGAGGTGCATTATACATTTTTTTTTTTCTTGTTCACTCACATACCAGCCTTCTCTCTGGATAAATAAAAGCCTAATCATACAGAACAAGCTCTGTCTCTTGTTGCCATAATTTTAATCAACTGTAAACTCTTAAGATTTGGATTGTAGAGTAAAACTAGCAGCATTAGACCTTCTGATGCATGTGACTCCTGATTTGGCAAAGCAGATACATAAGGTATGAGAACTGCAATCATCCCCAAAATGTTATTCTGGGCCTTAACACATAACTAATTGAGTATGTAGAAAATGTGTTTAGATGCTTCAGCCAGCAGCTGTGAAAAGGGGTGCAATATATTCTGTTCACAGTACATTTGCAATGTATTGAGTATGCTTCTATTGCGCCAGTTCACTTTTCACCAACTAGTGACTTTCCCTTTAAGTCATAGGGGGTAAGCAATTCCTACCCCAGGTGGGGGACATTCCCTCGGCTCTTTGTCGTGCCCTCAATATGTCAAATAGCCTGATAAGAGAAAGCCCAAGCCACTTCCAGAGGAGAGTGTGGTCACACACCACTTTTTTTGCATTTAAAGCTATGGACACAGAATTGGCCTGTTCTGAGCAATGCTGAAATAAAAGTAGTTTATTGGCATAAAATACAGGATTGGAGTAGATTGACCAAGAAAGTTTGGGGTACTCTGAGACTTTTTAAATACATTCAACTGTTCCTTTCAGTTTGGTGTCAATTCACAGGTTATAAGAAAAAACATGAAACAAATAATTAATTCATATTTGATCTCTACTTTTTTGTGGAATATGCCTGCTTGGTCCTCACCTAAAATAAGCTTCTACTCCAAAACAATGAAGTATTTTATCTTGGGCTTTTCCTGCAATTGGACACAGTTGGTAAAAAGGACCACATCAAGCTGTAATATCAGTTAATGTCTTAAAGGTTGACCAACAACTCAATTAAGTTGAACCACTGGTATTGAGTCAACTTTACTCCATCTCAGTGAGTGAAAGGAAAAACACTGGACCATTGGGAGTGAATAAAGCACTTCAGTAGAGTGCACAATAGCCATTTATTACATTGTTCGGTGTGTGGTGCTTACCAATAATTTCGTCAACACAAAACAGGCATGAAATAAAGTTTTGAACATCAAATATCTATTTAGCATCCACAATGCCATTTTTGGTCTATCTGTAAATATTGGGGCACAGGGTTTGAGATGCCCCGTCCAGGACCTGGACTGATGTGCAACAGGTTCGAGATGAGCCGAGACGTCTCCTAGATGATGTATTTGAAGCTGAATGTGCTATCACAAGAGAGACGTTTGCCTTTGCATCTGCCGCACAAGTCCTGTCTGTGGGGCCGTTTGGGGTCGACGTGGCGTTGTGTTAGTGCACAGGAACAGCGTGCTTTGTTGCAAGTCTGAGATAGAAAAACAAAACAAGGAAAAAACGTCTTTGAAGTAACCTTGACACAAGCAGCTATAAATGGAGAAAGTTAGAAGGTGCTTACGTGACATGTGATGTCCTCAACACGATATGGGTTGAATTCTTTTTGGCATTTTCTACAGTACTGTTTGAAGTAGACCTGCAACACAACAAGTTTCAATTAGTACAAGGTATGAAATGGTCCAGTCAGATTACACAGCCATCTCAAAAGGCTAGAGATGAATATAAAAGTACAAAGTAAAAACTAGTTTCTTTTAAACATTATCCATTAAGATGCTGCTGTTAAACTCCTACAGTCCCTGTTTCTATATGATATCTCAATTGCCCCCCCGATTTACAGAAATTGGAAAATTACTTTAATATACGTTACTTTACCATAACAACAACAACATGCGAGTAAATGAAATGGCTCACCTTGTTAGTGCCCTGAACACACCACACATAAGCACTCTCCCAACGCAGATTGCATGCGCCGCAGTGATAATATCCATACTTCTGTTCCAGAAACTATAGTGGGAAAAAGAGAAGATGTCAATGGGAGTCTTTTCTATCCTCACCAAATAGTACTTTGAACTGGAGCGCAAATAACCACAAGTAATAATTCACAAGGAATTCTTCAACCCAATCATCCCAATTACTGGAGTATGGGGCATGTTTTCTAACACAGTCATTAACCAGCCCTCGTGTAATTCAACCAATTGGACAGTATCTTGATTTTATAACTTCACTTTCATTGACTTCCTTTTAGACATTATGGATACAGATGAGCCTATAGTATTCAAAGTTTTGGCAGTAATCATATGGTCAGCCTAAATGCTAGCCCTGGATAACATATTGTGTTGGAACTAACAGTAAGGGTTTTCTTAGAAACATACACTCAGAATTGCCTTGTCGTCAAATTTAGTGAATTTGAATGCAATTCATAGAAATGATTAACTAGTCACCAGATGATAATGTTATTGCAGAGCATTTTAAAATTAGCCTAGCTTTCCTGCTAGCTCCATCTTTCAGTTTTGTTTCCCTTAAATTAACTTCAAATGTTTATTAGGTTAACAGTTTAAAACTCTTGCTTTCATTTAACAGTTGTTCCACAAGACTTCCTAAATATTTGTTTCCTGGAGTTTAAGACCTGGTTACAGGTTTGTATATTCAGATTTATTTTGGGCCGTTTTGGTGACAGGGCAGCAGATAGCCTGGAGCAGGAAAACGCGGGAGTGTGGGTACTAAAGCGCGGGAAAACCAAGCGATGTGACGCAACCATTTTCAGTTGCAGTTGAAATAAAACATTTCTGAACTGGAACTGAAAATAAAATAAAAATAGTAGGCCAACACATGCGGTGTGTGGAAATCATAGACTTCAAAAGTCGTATCAAAGATTTTATTACATGTTTTTATGGTAAGTTCACAGCTGCCCATCAAGAACACTTGTAGGCCTAACTCACCTGAAAGCGGACGCGCGCATTGACCTTTGACCCCTCTGTAGTTGTAGTTGGCTGCAGGTGCTCCCTCTCCATCTGTTGTTTGGTCTTCTTGAGCTGGTCGGAGAGCTTTCCGGGCTTCCCTTCCTCATCTGCCCGGTTGTCTTCGCTCTTCCTCCCGGTTTGCTGAGGCGGCTCACCGGGCGGCTCCTCCACACCGCCACACGAAGCCTCTTTGTTGTTGTTGTTGTTGTTGTTGTTGTTTTCATCAACCAGGAAGGAGGTGAAGCTTCTGAACGCGATGGGGGAATACACAGCCAGGGTTCGAGGGTACCGCACACCGGCCGCTGTCTTCGGGCTCCCGGGCGTCGCGGGCTCCTCCGGCCGCCTACTGCGCCGGAAGTCCCGCTTCATGGCGAGGAGGGTCCTCGGGCCGATGGAGCACTGCACCTGTGCGTCTCTCTTGGGGTTCACCTGCACCGCCACATCTTTAGTGTTGGCCTTCCGGAGCCTCGGGGTGAGTTTGGGGTTGATCTGTGATAGGATGGATTTGAGCTGTGCGCGCTGGTGGTTGTTAAAGGCGTCTGAAGAGTCCCCATAGTGGGAGAGGTAACTTTTATACTTCCACCCGGCGTCTTTTGTCCGGGGGTATCTGCTCATGTAAGGGTTGTAAGATGAATAGAAATAGCTGTCAACTGGCTCGTCATACGTTGCCATTTTGTTCAACCAACCATGCTCAGCAGGTGTAGCTATTTAAGTAGATTGGGCAACGCGAGTGCGCCATTACGCATGATTGTGGTCAGGTGTTCCTCTTTTCTCCCCCCCAAAATAACACACACGTGACAACTCTATACGTTCTAGCTAAGTTTTTCCATATTTTATTCTCTTGATATATTTGTTTCTAATATACACATATTGTACAGTTTGTTCAGACTGTTAGTTCTGTCTACGGAGCACAGATGCTGGATTAGCGCAGCGATGAATAATGTGATATGTTTGTCTTTAGTCTCTCCCACACACACACACACACACACACACACACACACACACACACACACACACACACACAGTTTTACACACTGTCAGTCTGGTTCACAAATTAGCTGATGTAAGTAGCTCTAAAGGTAAAACAGCAATGTATTAAAACATTATGATTCATTCTGGTAAGAGATGTTCTGATACATTTTTTTTCACTCCTGATATACCCAACATATGATTTCTGATGAATGATATTAGTAAATCAATCTGTGAATAAATAATAGCCCTGTTTGTTTTTCTCTCTCTCTCTCCTGTGTCTGTCTTTATTCTGTAATGCTTTAATAGTTTATTTACCAGGTATGTTTGTTTTGAAAAAGACCGGCCTCTCGCAGAAAGAACTTCATTTCAAATGAACACAGACGTAATTAGTGGCCTAGAATTACGCAGAGCAACCAGGAACAAACTGGCTAACTTTAACAGCAGCTCAGTTCACCCTTCTTTAGAAGCTGTATCAACCAAAGCGTGGAAAAGTCCCCTTTTTAAACATGCTGTTACTCTATCTTAAGTTACTCTTTAGTGCTTCTTCCCACTTTTAAAACAGTTGTTGCTCGCTATAAATCATCCAGAGAATTGAACCATCCTTGGTGAAAGCATCTGCTGTGTCGTCTTCTGGTCTTGATTAGTGAAGAAGTCATTTCTGGTGATACAGGTCGTCATCTTTCCACAGCTAATAAATTACAGTATAGACTTGATGCATAAACTGGTGATGTCTCAGTTTCTAAATCCCAGAGGATTAGATTTTATGATTTAAATCCCACCTATCTGAGGCATTTATGGTACTGTTATCAGAACATCTCTTAATATGATTTTTGAATGTCTTTGTCCAACCAAATGAATGAAGCTTATGACATTGCAGATGAACAATCTGTGATTCCCTCTATAGTCCTGTGATTCAGTTTTCCTATATGAATAGTGGATCCACATGTAGGTCTCGTTCTGCCCCTGTAGGGAACAGATTTGTATGATTTGTACATTAAACAGGGGTTGGATCAGGAGGACAGGGGTCCAACATGATGGTGTTTGGGTCACTCACTGTCACAGCACCGTAAGACGAGTCAAAGTCGTCATCCTCAAACCTCTGATATGTGATATCTGTGTCTTCGTTGTTCCTCATGGGGTCTGGTTTGTGCAGGACCTTCTTCCTGTACATCCTGTAGGCCAGGATGAAGATGCCTGCCTCGGCTGCTTGGAACAGAGCATACAGCAGGGGGAACATGTACATCCCTCCCATCAGCTGAGGGGGGAAGGCCAGCTTCAGGATGGCGGTGCACAGCTGCACGTTCTGGCATCCGGTTTCCAGAGAGACGGCCCTGCGGCAGTTTGGTGGCAGGTCGAAGAGGACGGCCAGGCCATAGCCTGCTGCGTAGCCACAGAGAGGCATCAGGATGGCCACCACATAGACGGAGGGCGGGATGGTGGACAAGAGCTCAGGTCCCAGCATCGCTCCGGTGAGGATAAAGAGCATCACAAGAGTAATCAGCAGAGACCACAGAGACGCCTGGAAAAAAACACAGAATCAAGGTATATCATAACTTGTTAAATAAGTTCTACTTTACCTGAACTTACATTATTAACTTCTTAATATATAAATGTTTGCCAAATGACAAGAAAAAGTGTTTTTTATATTGAGAAAAAAGGTCAGGCATGAGACGAGATGTTCATATATTGAAAGAAAAGGTCAGGCATAAGAAAAGATTGGGGGGGAAATAGGGGGCAATACTCTTCAAATGTTTTCATTTAATGAATAGTATCAAAATGTCCAGAATAAGCTCAACAGCAGTGAGGAACAAGAGAAAGGTCATTATCAATATTAAAATTGGAAATTCAACTTTTCTCAAAATGCAAAAAATAAAAGAAATCTCTGCTCAGATTATTTTTTCTAAAGCCTTGACATAACATTAACAGTTTCATTATAAATGTCTAAACTCTAACTTTAATATAGAAATGCAAAATATAAACGAAACCTTCCTTGTTTCTTGATTAAATGTCTGGCACTCACACTTCATTTGTTCTGTGGAAAAGAACAACTTTGACTTTAACAGAGCACTTTAATCCACATCAGAACATCTTTCTTATTAACGTCTCTGTATACTGTCACTGATGTGTCTCTCCCTCAAGTGACGCTTTTATCAGAAATGAGAGGGAGGAGCTCTTTCGGACACAGTGCCTCTGATGTCACTTTTACTGCGGTCAGCATTTGTGTCAGGCGAACAAAATTACGCAGTGCGCTTTTGCGCAAAGGTTCTCCTTTGTAGAATGTACTTGTGATCAAAATGACACAAAGCTGAATACAACTATTGCATGTATTGGAATAGTAACTTCGAGAAAGTCTTCTTAATTTACCTTTAAAACAATATCCGCCACACGCGAGTAGCGATACCTCAGCATCACCCCTAAACCAATCGGGATGAGAGTGCTGCAGAGGGTCAGGATGATGGCCCCGAAGGGCATGAGGTTAACCACAGGTGTGTTGATCCAGGCCCGGCTGTAGATCCACAGACACAGTGGCATCAGCACGAGTGCCAGCAGAGTGGAAGATATGGTCATGACGATGCTGAAAGTGGAGAGCAAAGACGTTAGAGCCGTATCAAGTGGATGTTGGACACATGGTGGGACTGTTTTGGTAAACTCTGACAAACGTATCGCTTTGACCTGACAAAATGATTTGTCATTAAGTCATCATTAAGTATTTTTGTCGTGTGAAAAGTTGTCCAAATTCCCCGTTATTTCCTTGCGTAATGTGCTGAATATTACGCGCAAAACGCAAATCAACCTGTTCAACTTTTTACAGATTTGCTTAATCAATCACTAGTTTTCTTTTTTAGATGAGTAAAGTGTATACCTTAGATTCATCTCTCCGTGCACCAACAGGGACATGATATTTGATAAGTTTCCTCCCGGGCAGCAACCACACAGGAGCACAGCCATCGCTGCCACATCATCCAGAGAGAAGGCTAAAGCCAACAGAAAGGCCACCAAAGGCATGATAACAAACTGACACACCAGAGCCAGTAGAACCCCGATGGGTCTGCGAATATGTTCACCAAGCTGGCTCACGTCCACTGTGCAGCCCAGTCCCAGCATAGTAAAGCAAAGCACGAGTCCCACAAACACATTGATTCCGTGACTGAGGGGGGAATCCCAAAAGGCGGGCACCAGGTGCGGGGATTCCGTCGGCGGAGCGGCCATAAACTCAGCTCCAGCGGCAGTCCTGAATGCGCTGCCTTCAAGAAAGAAGGCACCACTGCCCAATAATCCAGCCATGGCAGTGCCCTCAGGAGAATCCACAACCTGCTTCAAAGTGTCCAACAAAAGAAAGTCTTTTAAATCAACGCTTCGTGAGTCGCCGCCCAAAAGGCTAGAGTTCTTCATGTCGCAACAGGAGGACAGAGACTTGTGCGTAAAAAGAATCCTCCAGTGGCGCGCTGTCACCAATAAAAAGCTGCGGAGGGATTAGTGGACTGAGGATGTGGTGGTGCCATGGCACTGATAGTCTTAAAGAGACTCACCGAGTCAGACTGGTGCCACCGATTGGCTCCCTGTTAGACGCACATCGCCGGAGGGAGTCTGCACACAGTCTGAAGCTTCAGTGAGAGCGGCTGGGCCAATCAATAACACACAGGCTGCCCTTTTATGGCGCGCTCCGCTCCATATTGGGGAAAGGTCTCAAAAAGATCAATCAAATTATTACATATCGACAGATTTCCATTTGTGAAATTAAACTAAGCTCCATTGATGTTTTTTTTTCTGTCAAGTTTTCTGTAGAATTAGGAAACTCATCAATTCAACTAAACGAAGCTGTAGTGGAGACCGCTGTTTATCGAGGTGCCAACATGAATGAAGATTGTGCTGGTCTTTATACTCGTGCAGCAAACTGTGGAAATCTGCCTGTGCGGTTCTTTTGTTCACGCTGCTGTTTCTTTTCTGAAATGTGTCCTTTGTGCATGAATCTATACTGTGCAGGTCTCATGTCTGGTTTCATTTCAATATGGGTTGTTATAATAGTTAAACAGTCGAAACAATATTAAGCACGACATCATCTCAAAGTCTCAGCTGCTGCTGTACATACTAGAGGACTTTACAGAAGAAGCCACAAGTAAAGGATGAAAATGCTCCAACAATAAGGTGAAGCCTCATGTCTATATGTTACTGAATATTACTCATCCTTTTTTATATTCTTACCAAAGCTGCTCAGGATGAATTCAGTCTTTATATTAATCATGGGCTCTTTCACGTTTTACTTAAACCTAGTATTTTATGATTACATGTTTAAATCTACAAAACATGTTCAGTATTAGTGGATGATTGAGTAACTAATAACTCTTTCCACAAGTGGAAGTGTACATACGTACATACATATGTACATATGTTTGATTTTTAACTTCTTGTTATTTTTGATAATTATATTCCTGTTTCTTGAGCTGTCCCCATGGGGGATCAATAAAGTTTATCTTTATTGTATTTAAATGACATAAAAAATGTTCTAACATATACACGCTATAGGAACATGCAGTACAGTATGCATGTTCTTACTTAACCCTGTTGCATTTAACTCTCAGATGCAGAACAGATCTCACTGCTGACTTTTGATTCAGTTTCTGTTTGACATTCAATTTTACAAACCTGCTGTCAATCCATTAGTTTAAAAAAAATAAATCATCCCAACGGTAATAACATTACATTTGACTTTGAGTAGATTAGACAACATGAGCTATATTTCTAAGTTATTGTGGTCAGCATCATCAGTAGACTATGATGCCACTGTGTGTTGAGGGTCTAACACAGGGACACATGAAGGGAACGTGCTCTCTCTGTGTGTCTGCAGCTCACAGAAGAGGATGCTCTAAATGGATCTTCTGTATATGACACACGGGATGAATGCACCGACGTCACTCGTCTTCAGGGGCACTGAGGCTGGAGTGGGACGGGGACGGCTTGCAGCAGTCGGTGACTCAGGCTTTCGTCTATCTCCTCCCCTTCCTGGAGACTCTCTGTGTCCCCCATTAACCAACGGGTGACTCCAGGTACGTAATGCTACAGTTGACTGCGTGAAGAATACAGAATGAGTCACCTTCTCCTCAAAAGCTGTAAAGTGTGCGGACACTTTTTGGACCCTGTCTTTGCATTCAAGAATGTTAAAGATTCAACAATGTCTATTAATGTGTGGATAGTCTTCTACTACTGAGTAAACAATCCTGCTTTTTACAACTGTCTAAGTAAATAATTTAGATTTGTCTTAACTTTGAGAATTCTAAATTAGACCTCAATCTTAAAGTGAATATAAAAGAGCACACGGGTGCAGATGATTAGATTCAGACTAAACATTGAATGTCTCTGCTTTCACAGATATTTAGCTGTACTCGTTTCTCTATTTTTCTCTTCTTTGTCCTTTTCTCTTCTCCATCCTCATGTCCATGACCAGGACATTAATCTCAGGGAGCCATCTTGTGGACTTTCTAAAATCCATTTAAGAAATGAGGACTGAGGATCAATGCAGCTCACTAGAGGAGCCATCATAACCTGAGACCTACATCAGAGGTGGGAAACAGCCTTTATGTACAACTATCTGAAAATAATGACATCATGAAAAACCAATGCAAGAGACAGATTTAACTTCTGTTTCCTCAACTCTTCTCTCCTCTGTTTCTCCCACATGGTATGGAAAAGAGGCGAGTAAGGCCTGGCACACTCAAAGTTTTTTAAAATCTTGAACAATTTAGAAAATGTGAGAGACCCCACACATGACAACTAATCATGAGAGATTAACTGTTCAGTTCCTCTAGTGTGTGCATAGAGACAACCAACTCAGCACACCACACACTAACCGATTCATTCACCAACAACCAGAGCCTCGACTATCACAACACAACAGGATTTCTGATCGTAAATACTGAACACGTTTAATATTTACGATTTCAAATCGGGGCGGCCCTAATCGTCTTCGGAGCAGATCGGGGAGGTTAAAATCACTCCTAACACACTCTTAAAGAGGAGAATCTGACAGGATAATCTTTGGAACAACACATAGTCAGGCCTTTGCTGACTTTGGTCGATGGGTGGAATCATGTCCAATATTGGCCTGATCCTCTTGTAGTGTGTACCCCGCTTAAAGGAATCAAACTTTCTGTGGCTGCTTTTAATCTTAACAGTATAATTTGGTCATATATTGTGTGAATACACTTCACCATGTTTTTCTAACTCTAATATGTGTCTCTAGTCTGTCTACAAACACCCTAATTATGAGAAAGGTCCATTCTCTCCATCTTTTGCCTGCTCCACTATTCAGAAAATGTGTGCTCAAACAGGCCGTTTGGAGATTTTCCCTTAATGACATCAAAAAGGGCAGTAACCCCCACAGCTAGGTGTTTGTTCTGCCCTCTGAGTCTGCCTTTTCACCGTAAACAACAGGGCATGGAGCGAGAAAACCCGAGCCACCCAAACCCCTTCCAGAGAGGGGGTGTGGTCAGACACAGCTCATTTACATTTAAAGGTACAGACACAGAAACAGCCTGTTCTGAGCAGGGCTGAAATAGAGGGGTTTAAAGTCATGATCAAATATATAACCAGAGTGGATTTCCTCTGAGACGTATTTAAGATTAATGAAAAGGAGGATTATATGTTACTGTTAAAGGCTTCAAGTCCTCTGATTTTACCAAGAAGGAACAAAACATATGAGCCCAGAGCATAAACAGTAGAATCAAGATTTAGCACCGGTCTTCAGCAGGTCAAATGTGCAAAAATATTACAGCTTAAATTTGTTTTTTGGTAAAGCTGCAAAATCAAGTCAAATAAATGTTTTGTGAATTGTGACACTACAAATTCAATGATCAATTTGTAATGTCCAGAGTTTCAAAAAAGGAAGAAAATGCTGCTTCAATTAGAATATGTTTCTTTTCTTTGCCATGTGGAGTCTTCTGGAAACTGAAGCCATCACCGTGTTCTTCAGGTTATTTTATAGGCTTTTTGTCATTTTGACATTTAAATAGTTAATGAAATATAATGTAAACACATATATCTAAATATATATGTATCTATATTATATCTATATATGGGCAGATTAATCATGTAATAGCTGCAGCCCTACTACACTGTCAGAATAATTTGAAGTTGCTAAATCGTTGCACGTTTTGGACTAAAGGCTTCTGTTATCTGTAATACAAACCTTGTTGATGTTGTGAAATATGCAGAGGATAAAAAGACTAAAGGAAGAGAGAAAAACGTTTCAGCTTTTATTTGAAATGTGAATTGTACACCAGGCAACTGAATGTCATGTTTGTGGATATAAAAAAAAGTTCAATAACAAAAACCTTTCACACAAAAGGTGTGGCATGTCTTTTTGCAACATTCGCTGTAGCTTCCCACTGAATCTGACAGAGGCACCTCTCTCTTTAATAAATAGTTTCATTTACAGAATAAAGAGTAATTAGTTATAAATATGAAGGCGCATTTTAAACTTTTTTTTTTAAAGCAATTATAAATGTTTTAATTTCATTTACAAAAACACAAACAGGCAAGCAAATCAATCAAGCAGATAGAAAATTGCAGAAAAATAATTAATATTGGCAAAACCAGGAATCGGCACAAATGATGAAGAAACAAACAAACATGATGTTCAAACTCAAGTGAAATTTAAATTATAGGCACTAGTTTCATAACAGCCACCACACCAATGATCAGCACAGTTTCCCCTAACACTGACACACCTTTTGATTCTGAGCACAGGAGGTAAAAGCGAGCAAAACTGAACTGTCATCTTATTCAAGACATTTTTCCTTTTTTTCCTGGCGTGAATGATACACACTGACATGAATCTGTGGTGGGAATTTAAGGAATCACATTCCGATTTTCTGGGGCTCATTGGCTGAACATGAAGAAAATGTTTTTGTGCTTATGCTTCTTGTTTAATCCAATTGAATTTGGTTCAGTCATCAGCTAAAGATCAGACTTTATGTCAGAGGGTTGTACTACAAAGCCAGAAGAATTGGTCAGTGAAGCATATAAAGTTCTCTCTTTCACTCAGGTAGCTTCACTTTTAACCTGGATACAGTGGCACAAAATGTACCTGCTTTGCACAAAACGGTTAAGTACAGAGTTTTGGATTTAAATCTACTGTAAAAGGTGTCATCCTTTCACCGATTACTTTCCTAATGTTATTCTCTATGGGACAGATTCTCATCGATGTGATTAGTCATATATGCAAGCTTATAGTACACTGACTCTGTAATGCCACAGAATGAAGCCTTGCAGTTACAGCTGTGCATGCATCATCTTAAGGGCACCTGCATGCATTAAGCTAATGATGCAGGGAATCTGACCCTTCCCTGTTTGCTTCTGGTAGAGAAAACATCCACACAGCAGATCATTCATACCCTGAAAAATGGTTTTTATCGAGCAAGCTAACGCAAAGAAAGCCTAACGATGATCTTACTTTGTAGTACACCTCTCTGTTTTTTAAAGTAAGCTGTATTAGCACTTAGATGGAAAATTATTATCTTGGCAGACTGTAGTACAAGTCAGAACTCAGGATTTGTCTGATCCATCAATAATGAAGTTCTGATTTTACACTACAAAGAAAAAAGGCTTTGGAGAGTTAGCTTGCAGTTGAGGTTCAAAATGTACATTTTCAATTCAATAATCTCTAAACAAAATACTGATATGGATGTTTTGACATACATTTCTTTAAATAATTTGAATAAATAATTTCCAAAACAAACTTGTGCATACATTCTGGCTGATTTTACAAGAGGAAAGGTTTTTTTTTTTTTTTTAAATGTCATTACCCCACACAGAGGTGCTTTCACTGTTGCGAGACATCAACAATTCTCTAACATTACGGTACGTTCACCTGCACAGCATCATCATAGAGATCACTCACCAACTATCTGTTGAGCACAGAGCATAAAGAGAGAAATGTGTGGAAACATTTCAACCTGAGGGAGGTGATGACAGAAGAAAAGGGGGTGGGGGGGTGGGGGAGAAAAGGTCTGCGATGAAATATGGACTGTCTGACAAAGGATTGCAGTCAAACAAAAGGCAGGTGATGTGTTCTCTGCTGGGCGAGCTGGAGTCGGGCTGGTTTCTTTGGCATCTTTTGGTCTGCACTACATGCCTGACCCCTCCAGAGCCAGACCCCGAAGAGGAACACGATGGGAGGTTCCTCTTAGACACAATGTAGACACCTTCCTCTCTTTTTTAAAATCTCCATTTTATTTTTGGAACATAGTTTCTCTCTCTTTCTCCACTGTCAAAGGTTTCTAGGTAAAGTGCCATGTTGAAATGTCTGCTTCCTTGCGTTGATAGTTTTATTAGGGAGCCCCCCTGCTGGCTCCTTTCAGTAACAACCTTCTCTCCAGTTGTCCCCTGTGGTGCTGTAGGTCCGAGGAGCAGGAAGAGATCTGTGAAAAAAACAAAACCAGCCAACCCAAGATAAAACACGAGTCGACAGTCGTTCATCTATTCTCACATCCAAAAGATAAAAACAGTAACTTCCTCTTTGGTTAAGTTCAGTTTCAAACTACAAACGTCATGATCTCTATTCTATCTTGTAACAGTTAAATTCTGCTCTTCTTGATTTATTTGCATTTGTTAATAAGTACTACATTTAAGTGAATATTTTAACATAGAATAATTTGTGTAGGTCTGTTTATGTAGAATTTATCAGTTTTAAAAACAGGAAAATATTTAACTTAAATTTGGTTTGATGATCATTTGACGCCCTTGCTCTTCTATGGGCTTAGCTTTTATACAATTCATTTCGTCAATGAACATCGAGGATTTAATTTTGGTAAAACAAAGAATGGAAGAGAAAAAAACTGAAAAACTGAATAAAGAGTGAATTATTAAAGGTCCCATATTATGCTTCGTCTGGTTTTATATGCTCTTTAGTGTGTTTTCCAAGTGTCCTGTGCATGTTTAGGCACATCTATGTGCAAAAATTCAAAGTCCGTGGAAACGTGGCTTCTCCTACCTCCTCCTGTTAGCTGTAGCATTAACTGCATGTAACGCTCGGTTCTAGCCCCCCTCGATAAAAATGTGTCAGTGTGAGATCACTGATCTAAGCCCATTGGCTCGTTGTGGCAAGTCCTGCAGCTCATGTTGAAATTTCCGAGAAGCGTGCTGAGCAACTGACCAATAACGACAGAGCGGATCGGCAGACCAATCAGAGCAGACTTGGCCCACGTGGGGTCTAACAGTGTGGGCTCAGCAGAGTGCAGCTGACGGACTCAGAGTATAGAGGGAGCAAGGAGGAGCAGTACATGAAAACAGACACTTTTTTCAGACTTTAGCTATTGTGAACGTACAAAAGTAGGTACATAGATTAAATATATGAACCCCAAAAAGGGCAGAATATGGGCTCTTTAAGATGCAAGAAAATATTAACAAGAAATTAATTTTCTCAACAACTCATTCTTATTAGTCTGACTTTAGTCTGAATTCTTTCAGGACTTCAGGTCCAAGCTACCTGAAGAAAATGTTTCCCCAACACTTGTCACTAAGATGAAAAACTATTTATCACACTTTATTGTAAAATTTTGATAATGATAAATAATAAGGATAAATGACAAAGTTTCACCGTCCATACACCTTTGTTCTTACACGTTGCATCAGCAAAATATTGGCGTCCAAGAGTGTTATTCCACCTTGTATTACAGCTTTATGGAAGCGTGAGAGGCACGACTCTGAGCACACATCAGGAGTTTCACATACACACATATAGAGCTCATTATGCCTCAGTCACTACATCCAATTACAGATCAGGGGCGGGACAATACACTGCACAGTAGACGTAACAGGGCTGTAAGTATTCTGCATTAAATGGCGGTCTGTAAGCGTAATGAGTCTGTGGAGTACATACCTGCGCACTGGCTGGGCCAGTTTGCTGCGGGGCAGAGGGATCCCCCCTCCTGCATTAGCACTGGGGCGGGGTAGGCCGCTGCGTGGTTGAGCTAGGGAGCGGGTGGGGGTGGAGGTGGCAGAGTTGGGGTTGGATGTCGCCTTTACAGGCTGCCTCAGGGCCAGCGGGGACGGGGTGGCCGGAGTCCGCAGCTTACTGGGAGAGGGGACTGAAGACGGGCAGAGCAGAAACACAGTCAGGAAAAACTGGATCATGTTAGACCGTCTTTACAGATCAAACAGGTCTCAGTGTGCTGGTAGTTTTACGATGAAGGTAACTGCATAGAGATGTGAGAAATATACAGTATTATGCCACTTCTTATACTGTATACCAAACATCTATTAAACATGGAAGCATACAGTATGTAGGTCTTTTTTATTCACATCCGTCACAACTTCACAAATGGAATCAAACCTGTTAGGATGCAAGATTAGAAACTACTGAACAAACTTTATCAAAAGGAACAAAAATGTCTTATGAACTAAGTTGCCTAATCTAATGAATGGGGTGATACAAACATAAAGCACAAACTAGTGAAAACTAGAAACACGGCATCAACACAGCCACGGCGAGGAACCACAATCACAAAATGGAAAAGCCCTACTCACTGAAATCACCTTCTTCTCCAAAGCAACAGGAGAGCGGGACTAGACAAAGACGGAGACAACAGAAACAAAGGCCTTAATTCAGAGGTCTCTTTCCTGTCTGTTTACTCAACAAACAGCGATGTCATAAGGCCCCTCAACCAAGATGAAAAACAATTCTACTAGATGCAATGTGTAAAGCAAGTCCATCAGTGGGTGGTGGGAGGGTGTCATAGCTGCAACACTCGAAAGGAATCCTCAGGTTTAGCACACAGTGACAGCACAACATGCCTATGTTTAAAAAAAAAAAGGGCATCATAGCAAGCAAAGCAGATTTCAGAGTTGAAGACTTTCAACTGAATTTTTACATCAGTGAAAGTTGTCAGAATCAAAAGAACAAACGACACATCAGTCAGTAGGGCACAATCTGTATTTGTTATAAACACATTGAAGACAATGTGAATTCGTACAATAAATATATCTGCTAATAGAAAGGAGAGACAAGAAAAACTGGAAGGAGTCTTGCCTTCCACGTTGCATATTTCTAACTCAGTATGCCCTTAACAAAACTTACTTGGCAATTAGGATGCATTTTTAATTTGACCAGTTCTTTGTGACAACATTTCACCATGAACTACAGCAGCTGTAGTCCTTGGCACAACGTTTTGGGCTTTCTTGGCAGCTCAGTTGTGATGTGAGGCATCTTCTCCAGCAGAGGATTGTGTTTCAGACTTGGAAAAACAACCACACACTTGTGTTCTGTAAAATTGGACTGGATGAAGTAGGACATCCTGGTATTTTTTGCATATTGCATTTGAGTATTGGAAGGAATCCTCTGGATAACTGAATCCAAGTTAAAATGGCAATCAAGTGAAAAAAAAACAACATAAAAAACAATCTTTGTGTACACAGATTTGCTCGACCGCGATGTGATTCTGATTGTCAAACACGGACCAGCTACAACATCAGTGACTACTATGACCTTTTTTGTGCCAGTATGATCTATTTGACAACACAATCCTCACGTGTATCAACTCTCCCTTTAAATCAACATAAATAGAAAATTAAAACTACACTGAGAGTTTTTCAAAGCTCGCCCAAATATTGAATCTCTTACACTCCATGTGCATCAGTTATCTACATCTTCAGTACATAGGCAGCTTGGCTAAATCTAAAATTGTGCATATGTCTGTGTGTGAGCTTGATCTCACAGCCTCCAGCTGGTTCAGGAGAGAGCTGTTACCTCGCAGGGCTGTTGGGCTTTGGAGATGCTGTTTAGGTTTCGGAGAGGAGCGAGAAGGAGTTGAGTATCTCGGGAGCTGAGCTGCTGCTGGAAAAACGGACATTTAGCATGGAAGTCAGAATTAATTCTGTCTTACTATGGGAAAACAAACTGTTGAGGCGAGGAAGCCTGTGATGCAGTTTGAGGCCACTAGGGGGCTCAAGAGCTTTCTTTCAGAAGAAGGAGCAGTAGGCTGTCAGAGCAGAGTGTCAGTGCCACTGTTCAACAGCTGTGTCTGAGAAATGGAGGCTCATTCGGTAACACATGCTTAAGAGTGAAGTGAGAGAGGCAGGAATCTAAGTGTCTCACATGCCGAGTACAGCCAAAGCTAGGGGAAAGTCAACTTTTTACTGTGAAAGTTTATCTTTTAAGGTTTAAGAAAATATAAATAAAACATCTAGTAAACTCATCATAAAGATAGTAGAATATTTGTTAATAACCCTCAGAAGGATGTTTATGACAGAATAAAGGCAGCTCAATCTGCCATCTGACCTGTGTCCTCTCTGACTCTTCTACCAGAGAGGGATTAGCACCGCTCCTGGATTAAGGACGACACCATTACCTTTATCTCCTATTACAGGATTATATCAAATGGCTACTCTTAACTTGCCGAGGTACAAATCTAAGCTCCTAAAGAAGATAAAACCATCAGACACAGGATGTAAAACAATGTTAGTGTCACTAAGTCACTTTGGACCTTAAGTGTTGCTGACATCATGCTTTAGTTCTTGCGGAAGGAGAGTTGTTCTTTTTTGAATGTGAAAGTGAGGAGGAAGGATGTGTGTGAATAAAAGATATTACTTCTGAAATGATCAAAGACAAAGAGGATCCCAAAACAGTGAAGCCATGGCACTACAAAGCAGCTCAGTCCTCCTCGTGCTGTTGGTGCAGCCAGAAGAATTAAAAGAATTCCAACTCGCACAATGAAACAAGAGATTACAGAGCCTGTCATGCTTCTGAAGGTTCAGTTAAAATGAAAAAAAAAGAAGCTAAAAACACAATGATATATCCATTATGAATCAGACAATCTGGGTCTGAGACTCTGAGGGTTTGTGTGTTCTGCAGTTAAATGTTTTAAAATCAAAAACTTGTACTCACTTGTAGACTGGTTCTGGTGTCGAGGAGAGCCTCCGTTTTGCACTTGCAGGTTGGATTCGCAGCTGCGGCTGTTCTTGACGGGCTCTGGACCCTGAGCTGCTGCTGCCGAGGAGCGAGTAAGGTTGGGAAGACTACGACGCAGCTTTTCTGCAATAGACACAAAAGGTATGGAGTTAGCTGAAGCAAATTTTGATAACATTAAGCTGATATGAAACACTGCTGGTTAACTCTTTACCATGAACAAAAAGGCATGATTCCATTACCTCTGCCCCTGTCATTGCTTTCTCACTGTTCACTGTTAGATTTAAAATTTATTTTAAAATTGTATTTCTCACTTTTAAGATTATTACAGCCTTACTTCCAAATACATTCTCTATTTATGAAGTCCCCTTCCAATAATTAAGATCTATAAATGAGTCCTGCTGGTTTGTCCCAGGTCACACTTTGTGACAAAGGGTCATCCAGCTGGTTGAGGGTTTAAAAATATTTTTCATTTATTTGATCTTAATTTCCACAGTGATAGTTATTTTCTGTTTTAACAGTTCTGGCTATGTTTACCTTCATTCTTCACCACATTAGTTTGCATGTCATGGCCTTGTCCCTGCAGCGAGTGGCGAGGCTGCTGCAGGCGGCTGATGATGGGCTGAGGCGAGCCACGACTGTGGCTGTAGTCGATAGAGCGGGCGGGGGAGCGGGAGCGGGGTGAATTCCTGGGGGAGGCGCGGGGAGAGTGTCGAGGGGAGGGGCTGAAGCGGTTTGAGGGTAGGTGGAAGGCCGGATGCACCGCCTCCTCTTCATCCTCCAAGCTGTGTGCGTCTAACTCCTGGTCGCTGAACGTGCTGCGCCGCAGTGAGTGACAGGAGGAGCCTGAGCTCCTTCTGGATGCTGTTGCAGCATAATCCTGTCTCAGACCTGACAAACACAAACACACAGTTACGTCACAATAAAAACACTGCTTGGTTCCAAAAATGATACAGTTCAGTATGTGCAGGTACATACTCTCTTCCTGCATGCGTGCAAGTATCTGAACGTCAGTGACATCATTGAGTTTGTAGGTATTTGAGGACCCGACTGAGTCCTCGTCCATCTCCGAGGTGCTCAGCTCGCTGTCCACTGAAGACTGAGGGCTCACCGCTGGAGGATTCCTCTCTGCTGCTGAGTTTCGCTGGTGCACTGGAAGGGAAATCATTTGTTTACACTTTACTGAATTCAACAACAGAAAATATATGATTTTGAGAGATCTACAGGAAGACCAATACCTGCGTTCCCAGGCATGAGTTGCTGTCTGACTATGGGCACTCTACTAGGGGTTGAGGAGGGGGAGTTAAAGCCACTGCTGTAGGGGCTGTTGGCTGCGTTTGTGCTGTAAGGACTTCCATAACCTTGCTGGTTGTAAGGACTTCCATACAGACTCCTTCGCTTGTTGGCTGTAAAGTAAAAAAATACAACTAAATCATCAGCCAGCCCACATGACATTAGGAAATATAAACAATTAGTTAAAAAGTTACTGTTAACTTAAATGCTTCTCTACACATTGAAATTCCTTCAATCAAATGTTATATAGTCTCACTCTCAAGATCCGCCAACAAAGCTTTGTACGGACTGAAAATATTACTGACAAGAGATTAGTCATAATTTTTTGGCCTTGGCTGGTATGTTATCTTACATTTCAGCAGTGACCCACAAACCTTTTGCATTTTTATTATTTTTAGATTATATTAGCCTCTATTGTATCCCTTTGGAGGAATTCATAGGAATTCACAGTTACCAGAGCAGGACATATACACAAAGTTACTGTCTCACACTGATCTATAAACAGAACAATTTATGTAACAATTATGTTGCATAAACACCAAGCTTAAACTCTAAATGTGGTTGGTATTTATCTATTTATTCTAGACCACCACTTGTATACATGCTGGGCTGGCTGTTGAAGAATATTGCAACATACTACTTGTTTTAATATTTATTTCAAACTGTCAGAAATCATCCATATGAAAGGTTGTCATGAACTGATATTTGGCCTTAATGTTGTTCTTTGACCAACACATTAGCTATATCAAATCTGTGAAATTCTTTCCTCTTTAAATCGGTTCGGTCATGCACAGGGATTCCTTGTGAAGGTCGGTGCAATGTTAGACTTTTTTTTAACTTAGACCTTCAGTGATAACTAAAGATCAATGTAGTAACGGATTGTATTGGAATAAACAACAAAGAGCTGGTATACTACACAGCTTCAATGTTAGAGGACACATTGTTTGTTATGTATGTTAACATACTTCATCTATACACTGTAACAAATAAAAGATTCTGACGAATCTGTTTCTGGATCCCTGTGTTTGACTACTACTACAACAGCAGCAGTGTGTGCTCATCATCCTAACCTTCATAAAGCTGCACAGTGTGCTGGCAGTCTGGTAGAGTCTCTCAAACCATATGCAGAGCGTGAGCCTGATACATAGTAAGTTCCTACATCATCACTGAACAATGCACACCATTCAGTCCATACAGAGCACAATGCTATTCTCTATGAAACCTAGCAAGCATCAGTCAGAGGCGCCAGTCCACAGTCTCTTGTCTCAGTCATGAAATCAGACTCTGGACATGCTGCTGGTCACTGAGATTGTTTAGTTGTCCACTTGTTAACTCATCTCTACTTCTGTGTTTACACAGCTGGATGTTGGTGACTGGAAAGGAGCCTTTTAAGATCAGCTCTCTCTCTCTCTCTCTCTCTCTCTCTGTGTGTGTGCTCTGTCCTCCTGCATTATTCAGGAAATACCATCATGTCCACTCTGCTGCTATCCCCATGGATCATGTACTGAGGAATGTCAACAACACTGCAATGTGCAGGTCTGTAACACGGTGCAGTTCAAAAACAATGGATGCTTTGTTTTCGTTTCAAAGAAGAGTCAAATCAACAGATACAAAACATCAGGCACACTCTCAGACACACATGAATCTTCTTTAGTGTCTGTGCACGATGAAGTTAAAGAATCACACAAGTTATAATTAGAACAACTGTCCTTTTGACATGGTGAAATGGATGAAAGCACTTTTCTTGTCTTCTCACTACTCTTAGCGCTTTACATTACGTCACATTCACCCATTCACATCACATTCACACTGATCACAAACTCCTCAAGTGCCCAACTGCCCCACAGTACAAATCCATTCACACACAGTTACACACATGTGAAGCAGTGGGAGCTATAAAGGGGTTTTATCCAAGGAAACTTAGACGTGGCTGCAGGAGCTGGGGATCGAACCCCTGACCTTCCGGCTGAGAGACGACCAACACCACTGACACATTGCATTTATATTGTAAACTAAAAATTATACAATAAGCGTATACTGCTATATACTGTATAAAAAGGCAAGAAAGTTTATGCCTGTGTAACCAAATTCTAATAGTCAAATGTCCTAAGAAAGTAAGGGTTGTTAAATAATTGGACACTGGTATTAAAGCTAGGACTTGGCATATCAACTACAATAAACGGGTTATGCAGCAATCACCATTGTTATAAAGGTAAACAAAAAAATCAGGTGTAACCTCTGTTAAACAGCCATAGCTGTCGTCACGTCATCAAACTAATATTTGTTTCTTATCTCCTTGATAGAACAGTAGACAACAATGGACTGAAGGTGATTTTAAATTCCTTTAGTGGTCTGTGTGTTTGTCTGTTTGATGTCAGTGTCCCTGATCAGAGCTACTCTAGAAGCACATTGTCACAAGAAAGAGACTGATCTAAAGGGATCTGCAGCATAGGGACCAGCCAAAATAGAGTGTCCCCATACCAGTGTGTCCTAGAACAAGACAAGAAGTGAGAGAGAGATACTAACATCAGTCTTTTCTACCCACTGGGATTGATGCCACTTATTTACTGTGATTTGAAAGTGTACAATAGGATTTTCCGCTTCGGCTTTTTAGCTTTGGAAACTAAAGTTCAGGGCAGTTTCAACATGCAGAGGAAAAAAAAGCTCAAGAGTAAGTCAGAACATAGTGGCCTGGTATTAAACTAACGCCTGCAGGGTTTGAATGGTGAGAAGGGAATGGAAGACAACACTCTGTATTGAGGTCTGAGGCCTGATATAAGAAAAGAAAGAAAGGCTTTAACCAGCTTCAGGCAAATCACAAGAGAAGAGCAAACAGAGAAGCTTCAGTAAATAGGAGAGAAGGTAACAAACTGGTAGAGACATGCAAAACGTAGATGAACAAAAAGTACAGCACTAAGTTTTTTTAAACAGGAGTAAAAATGTCAGCCATGTGACTTTTGGTTGGGGTCTCTTGGGTTGTGTGTTCAGGACAGCTGTCAAAGCAACACTGTGGAAAAACGTTTCAGTTCTGGAAACACGTGTTGTGACTGTTTATCGGGCTTGTCTGGCATGAAGAAAGTAGTTCTGTCTGACTCAACTCTCAGCCGTCTCCTCCCTGTTTTGAGTTATATAACTGAGACGCGTCATGTGGGGATATAAGTTTAACAGGGTGTGCACTGACAGGTCACTACTGCTCACTACTGACACACTTCAAGTTCATGTTTCAAAGATGTGAATTCTTCTACAGATGTGAACCAGCAGCAAGAGTTTGCATGGCAATGGGAAGAAAAAAAAAAATCAAGATTAAATAAGTAGACAAAAATATGTTAAAATAAATAATAACTAAATATTTAAATAACTCTGTATTTAAATATTGATAATTAGTCTACCTTTCTATTCTATTTATTTATTATTTTTAAATCTTTAAAATAATGTAGTAAACACTGGGCAGGAAGTCCCGGCTGAAGCCAGTGTATTGATCAAATTTTAAAGAAAAGTAAAAGCAGTTTGGTATAAAAGGGGAAAGATGAAGGGCTAAAATAACAAACTTAAAACTATTAGAATAAAAACTTACATAAGAGATTATAAACTGCATAACCTAAATAAGTATGCAACTTAAAAATGTGAGACATAGAACAAATAAACAAATAAATGTAAAAATAAATGAACACATTTTGTATTGTGTATTGTTTTTTTACTTTATTTCCACATTAATTATTTTACTCTTTTGCTGATTCATTCTTTTTTTGTGGCACTAAAATGACTCTAGTCATTCTGGCTTAAATCTGCCATAACTGAAGTGTGCAAATTCCTTAGACACAAAGTAAAGAGACACTGTGGCTGCAGGGTTTCCATGCCAGTGTTACAAACTGGGTGTGAAAGAGAGTAGCCAGGGGCCATGAGGGTGTGTCTGTGGTGAGTCTATCAAAATGTCGTTTCTCAAGAAAAATTTTACTGTGTGCAGAAAAGCTCCAAAATAAGATAAAACATTTTTAAATCTTTATAAAAATATTCAGTGATAAGGATAAGTTGATACTTAATTATTTAATCAAACGGTTTCAACCACATGTTCAGTGGATCATAAGACTCGTCAGAAGTTTTCTGTTGTCCGGTCTGTGTGTGAGAACATGAGGAGAGTCATGCAGGGAGCGGGATTGGCAGTGTCAGTGACAGGAGGATATTTCCGGCTCCTGGAGGATGACGTTATTGTCCTTCTAGTTCCACCACACCTACAGTGATGATATCATAACCATCACATTTAATCCTAGCTGAGTGGCTAGCTATAAGTGCTATTTGTAGCTTGCAAGATTGACAGACTTTTTTAAGGTTATCTTAGGTAACATTCAGAGAAGTTTAAAGGTTTTTTTTACCTCAGAAATAACCTGAGAAAATGCTCATGGCGATTATAATAAAGACAGAAATGACTCATTCAGAAATCTGGTTTCAATGAGATTGCTCATCAGTTAATTAAACTTTAAACCGCTCTCAAACCAGAATTCATTTAGTCACTCCCTTATGCTGTGCATATTTGTAAAACAGGTGAAGGTAGCCTCACTTGGAGGGAACACAGTCATATACTTGAGAACAGATATCGTCTCTCTTGAATTACTCGATCATTCGTCCCTCCATAAAATTGCGCAACAGAGCTGAGAGGATCACAACTATCCCAGTGAACAACCTTCAGCAGCCTATTGCTCAACACGATCTGTCACATGGGCATACTGCTGTTCAAATGGAAATGACCCCTCTCAGTTTAGCTTCGAGGATTGAGGCCGGTCGTCCTCACTGAGGGGACTGACTATAATTAGTGGCAGGGTAAAGCTCAGATAACATACACAGACGAAGCACAAAGAATAAAAAAAACAAAGAAGACCTTGGTCATATACTGTGCATTAAATCACAGCAGTGTTTTTGTTTACCTTTCCAAAGAGGTGGTGTTTATGATGACATATGCTTTGCCAATTTCAAAGATAGTAAAGCCACCACTGTAGTTAAAACAAATTATCTCAAAAGTTATTTATGTAGTGACATGATATTTAATACTGCTACTCAAAGTTCTTATAGGGCATATTTTTCTACTTTTTTTTAATCCCTGAACTTTTCAGAATAAAAAAAACACTGTACACATTTCTTTGAAACCGCTAAAGGGTAAGCATGACAGGGAAAGGACCAGTAACATGTTGGAGTAGATCCAGATTCTACTGATAAAAAAACAATCAATATTTTAAGATAATTTACACTAAGCATCTACTGAGTGTGTCCTCCCCTCATTATAAAACCATTAGACTAAACTCTGAGGGCTCCAGTTCCACTTAAAAAACTTAAGTAGAAGGGAAGTTAGTATACTTCCCTTCTGAGACTTTATATCATCTTTCAAAATGATACAATCTAAGATTGGTGAGGCTTTGGCTGCACAATTCATCAAATCGCTACACGGTCATGATCGATTTCTGAATCTCGAAGTGGCAAAACAGCAATATATTTTTTCTTTATCATAATGCAGCACTAACTGGCACAACCATCTCTGCCTTTCTTCACTGGATTTAATAAAAGAGGAAATCAATTTCACAGATGAAACTATTAATACATAAATATGTGCATGCCCTAAGCACACAAAACATATTCCACAAAGCGTGTCATATTTGGTACATCCCATGACATGGTTTCAATCAAGATTTTTTTTCCCCCACATACATGCTGTTAGATGTAACAAAAGAGGCTTTATGATGTGCACAGCTCCAAGTGTCTGAGAATTATTTTCAAAACATTGAATCCCAAATCTGAAGAACAAGAAACACACATGGGTCTGAGCTTTCCTATTCTCATATTCCCCTACTTCTTCATGTGCAACAATTCAATACATTACAGCATACATTTTAATAGTGCGGTATATACTATTTCTAACAGTACAATATACATTTATTTATATTCTACCTGCACTATGTATACTTTTTACAATAAATATTTATCTACCTGTGCCATATATACATTTTCTACCTTTCAGATTCAAACTTTTCTTTTGCAAATAACTTTTTATTAACTGTGGATGTCTGAATGTTGTGAAGCATTCTTAATTTTGTCGTACAACTTTATAATGACAAGTCTTTCTATTTTACTCTAAAATATACTATTCACTAACTTGCTTCCTAAACTAGCCATTTATGTCCAGGTCGATGCAGAGTCAAACTATCAACTCGTCTGTGTCTGCAATCTCTGTAACTACAGTCTCTACCATTAATGATTGACATGTGTGCACTTCATCTTCCCTTTAAAATAAGGGAAGCTTATTCAAAAGGGAAATGTATGATTAATGATACACCGATCTGTAGCTTGTTTGTAATTCTTTGTAGTGGTTGTAAAAGTGGTAGAAGACAATAATGATTACAACAAGGAGTCATTTATTTTGTTTTCTTGTTGTACAAAACTCAATAAAAGGAAATATATGATTATTAAAGAAGCTCAGTCTCATTTACTAAAACTCTTTGTAATAATAATCATATTAGTTATTCTGCATGAATGAATGAGTTATCTTGCTGCTTCAGTTGTTCTAGATTAAACTTAAACAGAGCAAATCTTTGACGGAGCAAAGAAATACTTTTTACACGATTGGACTACTGACACTACTGTCTTTTCCCCACTATATTTCTGAGCAGTAAAAATGTATCTATAGCAATTACTCATAACACAAAGGACTTCATGTGACTACCAGTTGGTAGGGAATTGAGGGAATTTTAATTTGACCTCATCCACAGGAGAGTTATGGGACTGGAAGCAAAGGTCGATGCTCAGGTTTTTAACTGCTACGTGACTGAACAGGTGTGACCGACGCACTCAAATAACTACTTGACACTGTGTCCACTTGTTCTGTTGCTATTTTGGTGCATTTAGGCGTCATGAAATGAAACAGTCTAACAGTCCTTTGCTGAAGCCGAGTCAGATGCTTTAGTCGTGACCACATGTGATGTCACTTCAGATCAGAGAAGTGAATTTAATTCTCACATTTTAAAATCCACATTTTAGCAGCATATTATCATATATGCAATGATTATAACTCTTTGAGCTGGTTAGTCATTTTGCAATCATGTTTTTTTTTTTTTACTGTAGGCAGATCTCTACATCTTGCTACAAAGCGTCAAGAAATAAACTAGAACTGCACTTGTAATGAAAATGACCTCAAGACCTCAAATGACTAGTATTCAAAAAAATTGATAAACAGATCTACAAACCAACAGCAAAAAAAACAACTGTGTGACATCACAGAGAATAAGACACAGCCTGTTTTAATAAAAGGACCAAAACAAAGTCTTAAGCTTCAGAGTGCGATTCCATAACAAGGCCGGAACGAAGCTGCTCTGTTATTACCTCTTTGTACATTCATATTGTTTCTGCAACGGTGTAATATTGGTGTCTCCAGTCTGTGAGTTCACCATTGCAGGTGTAGAGAAAAACCAGCAGGAGCTCCTCAAACACATACACAGACATGCACACAAACACACACAGCTCGCTGGCTCGTCCAACCCCTATCACACCTCTGTGACTATCTGCAATGTTGGTACAGAGGGGATCACTTCTTCCCCCCATTACGCCTCTGTGACATTCATATTGAAGGAGATACGTCACAGGGGCGTACATATCATGCTTTTAATGGGCAGTCTAAATAGGGCTTTTGTGTCGGTGAACATTTACCTGCACATGATTGTTGTTATTTTGAACTGAGCCCTAACACACCATCAAAGGGGTTAAATGCATCACTGATGTTGTTATTCTTTTACTACTACTATTGATGCTCTCACTGCTGCTAAGTTGAGACTACATGTGTCATGTTACTGGGTGGTGTTTACCTGACAGGGTGAGATCCAGTCTGTGGATGAGGGAGCGCTTGGCTGACTCCATCTCAGGACTCGGGTTGTCAAGAGCTTGGCGGCACCAAACGATAGGACTCAGGGTTTTCTGCAGAGGACTGTCCAGTTTCGCCTCATAGAGCCTGAAAAAACATGAAAAGCATACACAATTAACATCATATACAGCTTGTTCATAAAAACATGCAAGCAATCATTACACAAGAAAAGTCTTTAAAAATAACAGCTCATATCTATGACACCTCGTATGTGAAGCGATAGCTCCCTGAGGAAATGAGATTGAGGGGATAACAAGTGTTTGGGCTGGGTTTTATATAAGAATGCTGCAAAGACAAGGACAGATGAAACAGACAGGGAGAAGGGGTGAGTGTGAGTGTGCTTGTTGACATGGAAAATGTGCTATTTGGTTTGACTTAGATCCTTTTTATATTAAATATTTGATTTGTTACAGTCATTATTCAAGACACTTCCAAAAACACCACCTGTTAAAAATGTACATAGAGGTTATGTGGCAGATCATTTTAGGACTTATAAACACAGAGAGGTGTAAAGCAAACAAAAAATACAAAATAAAGTTTCTTAGTAAAGGTTTGGTGCCATCAGGACAACATCAATGTCCCTTCGATTCGATTATATAAGTCTCTGAACTCTACCAGTGGGATGTGAGATTTCCTCACTGTGTGGGTATTGATGCCAACATGCTGCTTTATAATCCACCTGTAAGTGTTCAATGGAGTTAAGATGTAATGACTAAAACAGAAATAGTGTATGAGTTACATTATTTCATTCTCAACAAACCACTTTTGCCTCATGGATGAGGGTCTAAATCCTCTTGGAGAGACCAAACTCATAAGAGTAAAAATGCTTTGTACAAAAAGGTGATCGCTAAGTAGAGATAACATGTCACCATTTTTTTTATACCTGATAGACATATGACACATAGAATTGAGTTAAGATCGGAGTTAAACAGGTTAAACCCCTTTAAGGTAAACGATTGGTTCACCCACATTAACAAAAAAAAACATTTCTCTTTCTTAGCAGTAAAACTGAGAGTGATTCTATGAGAGGACTTAAGGTCAAACTGTTTTTGTAACATTGTGAGGTGAGAGTCATACAAAGTAAGCCTGAAAATGTAACCATACCTAAAAGACTCCAACAAGGAGGTGTATCTATGGTGACTGACAAAGTCAATGTACCCAAACTATTTAAACAAAAAAATCAGAAACAATGCAAATAAAAAAAACACAAACAACGGTCTTAAAACGTGCAATATTAAAAAAGGTGGCCTACTGCACTGTAAGTGAAAGAAGATGCTGTGTTTGCAGATGCTAAGTAACTAAATGATACTTGTTGGATACAAACATAATAAATAACATTTATTTTAAAAACACACTGATTGCTGATATGTTGCTTGCTTTGACTTGCTGGACCTCTGCTAGCACAACAATGTTGTTGTATGCTGTTGTCTCATAATAGTTAAGCTAAGAGCAGTTATTTTTGGGGGCCATATGGCAGAGAGTTGCCTGGCATTTGTGTCAACACCAGATACTGCAATATGACTGCTATTAGTAGTAGAACAACTCTATCACTCAAAAAAGAGGCTTGCTTTGCTGTGACCCCCTAAAAGATCAGAATCCAACCAGATCCTCTCACAGCAGGAGTCAAGCATTCACAGTTTTCCTATAATTAGTTATTTATCTGTAATTATGCTTCGGATAGTTAACAAGTCGCATGATTTAACTCAGCATACATCTGTGTTCTTTTCTCAGACTAGCTATTGGGAAATGAAAGTCATCTCCTGCTGCTGCAGGAAACTCTAAGAATGAACCTCTGTCACTGGTCCAAAAGTCATCAGGTTCAATGCTTAGTCATTCACATTGATTGAAAAAGCATAACCCTCTTAATACTTTATGTAGAGCTACCCCTGATCTGGGATTTTTGACCAATACCAATTGAAGAAGGAAAGCCTCACAAATTACAGAAATGATGTCAGATATAGTGTATTTTTGAATAAGAACAAAAATACACTTCATCAATGCAGATCATTGTGCATTATTTAAAAACCAATAACTGCAAGGTACACAGAAGGCATTTCTATAAAACAAACAACTAGAAAAAATAGTTTGAGATGAAGAACATTTAACATTATTAAACACATCAACCAATTCTGGTGCAGATCATTTCTAAGTCATCCTTTCTTTAGCATTACTTTCAGAATGATAAGTTTTGCAGCAACGTTTTTCTTTGATTTGTGCTTATTGGAAAACCAACTGACACCAAAATCTATTTGTGATTTCTGCAGAAAATACCAGCAAACTGATACATTGATTATCCACTACTGATGGATGGATACTTGGAAAGGTATGCAAAGTTGTAGAACTAACTTGCAAGTTACACTATAAAAATAATAAAAATAATAGTAATGATAATAATATGGCCACAAATTAACTGAATCTGCCACTACTTTCTGTCTGTATCTAAAGTAATGCAAATGTGAATTTACCCTCAACCCTTTGAGAAGGAAAAAAGAAAGTTGAAAGTGAAGAGTTTCTACTTAGCAGAGAAACCTGAGTCAGCAGCTGTCAGCTCTGTTGTAGTCATAGTGGAAGCCGTTCATGATGAAAGCACAAACATTAGAGGGAAAGTCAGTTTGCAGAAATACAAACCGGAAATCAGGGACTGCCCATTCTCTGTGTTTATTAATACCAGCACATAGTATATCTACTGCTAACTCGTAATGCATGAGCTCTCAGCTCTGTAACAATGATACCTGTCATGTCCTCATGCAGCAGCTGAAGAGTCACCTATTTAAAAGGTGGAACACTGCAGCAGTTTTTCCGATTCAGTTTCAAGCTAATTCAGGGATTACAGGAGTCTATGACAGGAGCTGGCAGGAGCTCTACACTACACAGTAATCCCAGATATCAATCTGATCCAGAGGGCTGACAAACAGCCAGGGCATAATGAGACTAGCTCTGATAAGCATGAGTGAGCAATGTCTGAAAGTAGTGTGATGTGGTAGGCTCAGTAGCTGGCACAGCCTCACTGCTGCAAGTAAAAGAGGGAAGATGCTGCTTTAAACTGGCTTTCAACCAAATATGAGCTGCCTTTGTAGTTTAAGAAACTCATATTATTAAGGAGCACCAGGAGATACATCCTAATGTTGCTTATCATCGTGTCATTATCCTGGAAACTGCCAATTAAACAACAGTTCCTGCAAGACATAAAAAGGGGAATATAATCTGTGGATGGCCTATAATTACATTCATGTCAAGACAGTGGCTGTTCCAAACTATCCAATTTTCCTACTTTCAGACCCTGTGTAAACCCAACCAGCTAGTCAACATGTCTGACATCAGCCGTGTAACTCTCCTCAGTGTGTGACTGCCTTCTCGAGGGATTTCCTTGGGTCAGGATGGGAGAGAGAGAGAGAGATTTAGACAGCAGCACAAATCCAATCATACTTGGGAGTTTCAGGGATTACACTTCTACAGTGTGTGTACGCAAAGCCACATAACCCTAAAAACCTTAACTGCTCAGCGCTAGAGGAAATAATACCAACACAATGTGCTGGGAGAGGATTAAAAACAGGAGTATGTTGAACATGTGGGCTGTCAGGATGACTGTGATAACAAAGAGAGCATCATGATGTCACCCTGTCCTCAGGAAACTCCATATCATGACCCTTTTCTTTTATTGATGAGCACTGTTTGCAATCCCTGTTTGTTGACACTGACATAGCATCTATTCCTGCATGATGAGAGGATTTCAAACGCCTTTTTTCTCACTTGGTGCTGCAGAGCACTTGTGGATGTTTGCCAACTCTTCTGCTAATGGGAATTCAGAGGAAGGAATATAACCATGGCTACATCTCCCACATGACTGCTGGGCAGGACTTTCAGCTTTTTTGTACTGCACACACTGGTCTCCTGCCATCACTACCAGGACAAGCCAAGCAAATCTGCCACATCAGACACACGGGCAAAACGGTTCAACAGATGATCGGGGAATTCAGGGTTTGGACAGCTGAGAGTTTGGGCTTTAAAGGCCTGTTGGCAAGACTGTAGGAATACATGACATAATAGATAGATATTTGCTATGACAATGCATGTCTGTTATAATCATTCAGCCCTAGAAGAGAATTGACATCGCCCACGTGACCTGCCGAACAGCATCATTCAGCCAGTGAGGCTCCTTCCTGCTTTATAACTGAATTTAGAGGTTCTTTAAAATTAGAGAAAGCAAGTATGAATTTAGAGGATAAGGTATTTGGAAATTAGCAGGGACATACCGTTTATAAAGAGTATGTAAACAGATAAAGTCTGTCAAAAAGATAAACTTGTGGAATAAGGAATTGACAATGTAATGTGTTGTGTTCACATCCTACATTTAAATAATGATAAAAAGGTTTGAGTTAAGATGCAGTGATTAGAGTAAGGGTTTGAGTAAGGGTTACATGATAAACATAAGTGTGGCCATTATTGTTTTTGAAAAGCTTTAAACCCCGTTTTTTTCTTGTTTTGTTTTTTGAATGAAATGTTTTGAAACTTTTTTTTCTTGTACATAAATAAGCCTGGTATTTAAAGGGTCTCCTATAGAAGTAAATGTAAATATGTCATGTAAAAAGGGTAGGTATAATAGGCTTAACTTTCAGCCGTTGTTCTTCTCTGTATTTTTAAAAGTCCTTTGATATAATCCCTCAGTGTTATTCATTTGTTTCTAACAGAAGGGGATTAGGGATGCACATGAAAAATTTATTCGACTTGTACTTTTTCTTAAGAATTCAGAGTTTTTTCTCAGACTTGAAACAAAAGAATAATGACTTTTCCTTTATTTACATTCTGATATGAAATTCAGAAATCTGAGACAAAAAGTTGGAACCGACTTTTCAGTCAGAAGTACGGGTACCTGTAAGGAACCAACTTCATCCAGTCACTTTGCGTCAAGCAGAAGGGGAACCATATGCTGACCGAAAGTGTCGTAAATAAAAAGACTCCTTCGTGTTTGAGGGGGTCCAAGAGAACCAGAGAGTGCAAACTACAAGTGTTGATTTGTTTTGTTAAATGATCATTATGACAATTGAGTCAGAACTCAAATGTATCCACAAACAACGACTACTGATACAAACTGTGATTCTTTATACCAGACGTTCGTCACAGTGGCACTTCTAGACCACTTTTACTGAGAGGGCAAAACTGGGGCCAGTTGTTTTGTCGGAGGGGAACATTAAACCCAGGTCAAAAATAGACAAAGATAATCACATTTCAAATATATATATTATTTAAAATATATATATTATGCCAAATCATAACGCACATCATTAAATACCTCAACCTAAAATACCATGATTGATATTTGTTTCAGTAACAGAATTTATATCTAGAGTCCGGTTGTTGAGTCAAATAGTGTGTATGTGTTTTGAGGGGGGTTCTTCCTTTTGGAGGGGTGGCCACAGGGGGGACCAAGATCAGTGTTACAGGGGCACTGGCCCCTGTTGGCCCCTGTCTAGAACCACCCATGGTTAGTCATAGCTGATGTTTAAAGCAGCTGTGCCCAGTCAATTCACAGGTTTGATGACACAGACAAGACAGTAAAGGCAACACAAGTCTGTCACTCACCAGCTGTCCTCGTCTTCTTGCAGACAATCCATGTCCTCCAGGTCTAAGATTTCCACTTCGTCTAAGACCGATGTTTCCCCTTCATCGTGAAATCCCCCTGTGGAGTCTGAATAAAGTGAGTTCATACTCGGCATGGAGGGAGAAGCCGATGCCCCCTCATATTCATACGCCCTCCTGAAGCTGATGCCGTCATAAGACAGTCTAGGGCTCAAACAGCGGTTGTTCTCTAGCAGCCCACCGAACCCCACCCCAGGGAAGCCGGCCAGCCCGGCTGCCATCCCCGCTGACAGGGACGTAGACTCGTATCCGGCGCTAAGGGGTCTATGGTTCCCTGACATGGCTCCGGACGAGGACAACATCGTAGACCGGCTTCGGAGCTGTTCGTTCTGCTGTTCGAGTTTCTTCACCAAGTCCTGCAGCTTCCGCACCTCCAGGTCCGCGTTGATATTTGAGTTGATATCCTCCATAGTGGCTCCTCAAAGCCCCACGAAGATATGCGGCGGTCTGTGGTGTTTCTAGACGTTTCTCCGCCGACAGTCTGTTAGTTTCTATTAACTTCACTTTTCTCTACGTGTTTAAAGAAGACACTTTGGTGTTCAACATCGTCATCTTCTCCGGTGTACCGTGCTGCTCACGGGCAGGGTTGAGGCCATTTTCATAACACTCGTCACCAACTGTGAAAGACCAACAGGCGGCGGAGATCATACGTCACCGCGTTCAGCGTCGGGAGCGAGCACGTAACCAACACCTATTTCCACGTGCACTTTTCCCCCTAAAAATCGAAAAACATCACTAATTTAAATCCTTTTGTTGTTGTTGTAACCTTGTGTTACTACTTGTCTTACACTTCACGATAAAAAGCTATAACACTGTGACTAATAAATATCGAAACAATATTATTATTCTAAAAACTCTTCATTCACCAAGAGGTTTTATGAATTAATTTAACTCAATGCTCTAGCTCAGGGATGGGCAACTTTGGTCACAGCTAGGGCCACATTCATTTCATTCTCACTGCCAGAGGGCCAAATTGTAGAATACAAAAACGATTACAGTCAATTATGTCTCAAATTTAACTCAACATATACCAGTGATCAAATATTATTATGGAAATATTTGTGGTTTTCATGAATTCATGGCAGATTTTGTCAAGTTTTCTTCATGTTTCCAATTAATTGATGATGACTTGCTGTAATGGATTCACATAATGATGTTTTATGTTTGGTTTTCATCTGATCTCCTGTATTACATGGTTTACATTTGTGGCTGGTAAAATATTTTAATGTTCTGGTGAATTTTCAAACTTGTTTAAAATTAATTTGTCAGAAAAAGGTCGCATTAAAGTGATCTTTACGTGGTTAGGTCGCGCCGGTTCAAGTCTGACCTGCTGCTCCTTTGCCGCATGTTGTTCCCCACTCTTTCCCGATGTCCTACTCCATCCACTGTCCTATCATATAAAGGCAAACATCCACAAAATATAATTCTTTAAAGCTCATATTTACTTACCAATAAACCTAGTTTATAACCAGTTATTTTTTGGGCCGTTTTGCCTTTATTAGATAGGATATCTGAAGAGAGACAGGAAATAATCGGAGGAGAGATTTGGGGAAGACATGCAGCAAAGGACCACAAACAGCTGTGATGAGGACTGTAGCCTCTGTACATTGGGCATATACAGTATATATATATATATATATATATACACACACACATAACCACTAGGGTGTCTTTGCTCCACAAACCTAACTATTCAGCTTTTGGTTTCTAAATGATCAAGAGTACAGTGGTGGTCGATTCTATCTCTTCTCTAATAATGCAGAAGGCATTGTGATAACAATGTTTTAGAATATAAACCAACTGATCCCAGTTTAAAGAAAAAGAAAAAGATATCAAAACAAACCTGTTTATTTTCATACAAAAACATGACATTTAGACCACTGGAAAAAATAGCAAGAAGCTAAAGATGGGGTTTAGCTTGTTTTTTTTTTTTTAAGAGAGTTCAAGAGCTTCCTCTGACTCTAGACGTTCCTCAGGGTTTTGAAGCACATCTCCTCTTTGCCCTCCAGCCTCATCGTCCGCCTCAGCTCGTTCCTCTCCTCCCTGCCCTGTGCTGCTCATGGTGATGTCCAGTGCATCCTGGTCAGCACTGGTGTTCTGCGACTCGGCTCCCTCATCATCTTCATCTTCTACATCCATTTCAAAAACGCGTATGTGCCGCAGATTGGCGCTTAGCTGCGAGGAGAGAAACAGTTCATGTTATGACCCACAATACTCATTTAATAGAAATTCTGCATTACATTTTTTTCTGAACATCAAATCACCACAAACTGAATCAAATGAGAAGATAATCTCCACGTACCACACAGGCCACTTTGCGGATTCCATTGACAGCCACAAACTGAGCCTTCATGCTCTCCAGTTCACGCCACTGATTCCCCAACACCAGGTTTTGGCATGGAATGGCACTGGTCTGCTGGTCCAGCCTGATATCAAGGATTACATATAGGGATGTAATTATACCTTGCAATAGATTTTAAAATTGATACAAATATGGACAATTTAAATTGATATGACAAAAATATATATTTTTTATTACCAGCAGAACAAACATTTGGAAACTGATTTGCAATCCCGCTCACCTTAACAAGTGCAAGAGATGGAAAGATTACTACAGGGTGTTTAAAGGATTTGGGCCTTATGATTATAAACTCACAGAAAGTTGTGATCACCCAACTTTAAAAAAATGTGAATGAAAACTAATATTAGGAGACACAATGTTGAGAAATTCAAAGTATTTTAGTAAGTAAGCTATTGCTTTAATGTGAGAAACACTGGCTGCACCACTGTGTATAGAAAGAGATAATCCCTATTTGTGCTATACAGATATTTATTTGATCTAGAATTTGTTTTAAAAACCTGCAATTTTATATTTGATCAGTTTCACTTCTTACAAAGAAAACAATGTGCATTGTTGTTTTAGCGGCTTTACAACCTCAACATGTACAAGTATTACTGGTACTTTTATTCATAAAGTAAGATAAGAAAAAAAATATACATTACATTTTTATTGTCAGAGAATTAAAGAAAAAAATAATATTTATTTGAAATTGACTTCAATTTCCTGTCTTAATGAAATTAGAAAAACATAATATTCAGTTCAAACTGTGTAGTGACCCAGTGCCATGAGATGTACTACATTTTCACAAACCGTATTTACCTCATGTATAGCCCCTTGGTGAGGAATTCCAGTTATATAAACATGGGCTCAATTTTTACACATTATAGGGACTAAACAACAAAACGGGTCAAACACCTTTTAAACAGTTTCAGTAGATTGATGCTTATTTTGGTGGCCCTTGGAGCTAATGCTAAACATTAGCCTATATCCCTGCTGTGCTTTGATTTGTTTTATTGATTTTATTTTAGTACATTACAGTACGACTCTAATCTGACAAAGCACAGAGTATTAGTGAACCTGAATTTCTTTATGTTAGAGATTAAGAGCTCTAATGACTGATGTTGTGCAATTAGATTAATGGATGGATATACAACAGGAAAGAAACAGGCAGATTATCTGACAGCACAGAGACAGACTTCTTTTCAGTAAAAACTCTGAACTGTTAAAACAGGAACTCTGGTTTTATTATTCCTGTGCCCTTATTTTAAACATAATGAGGTCTAAATGACTTGGAGGTACAAAAAGGTTTGGACTTGATTCAGTAGACAGCTTCAGCTGGTCGCTGTGAAACTGTCTGCAACATAATCCCTGCAGGCAAAAGTGCCTGATCAAAGTACATCGGCTATAAGCGTTTGTTTTTCCACCAAGGCTCAGACTGTTATTCTACATGTTGACAACATTAGAGATATCCTTTTTGTGAAAGCACAAGATTGTTTCTTTGCAACCAAAAACAGCCGTTACATCACTCTCTTCAAAGCAGACGGACTCCATTGTCATTTCACCTTGCACATGAGTTGCAGGGGAGTTGCTATACTAACATTTCTTCAGTTTGTATTTTGTTTTGTTAATGTCTAACTTGAGTGTTTTAAATGGTTAGTTCAGACCAAACAATTATTTATTTGTAACACAACACAAAAAAACAAGCAAATCCAATTAGCTAGAAACAATAATCTTGAGGTGTGTGATAAAGTCAGTTATCTTGGTCTTTTCATCACTAAGAAGAAATAGTGATGATGACGTTATTTAAAGGTTGCAAGATGTACTTTAAGCAAACATTCTTGCATGCAAGTTTGTTAGCTTGTTTTCACATGTTGTAAAGAACTCTTTGTTTAAATCGTATAGTACACCTCTCCATACTGCACACATATAGACAAACTAAGCAAGCATGCACCACCATCAGATTCAGTTCTGTTCATTACCAGTCTGATTTGGAGACATTGGTACAGAAACAATTATATATGCAAATTGTTTACCAGTATATATCATGCTGTCTATCTATGTATTGTGTTGTCTTTAATCTGGAACTTGATTTTGAGTGTTGAATTGAATTGAATCATCTCCAAATGTTCTTCAAGGTAAAATTATAGTTTGCTGCAATTAAGTCTTGTTGCTTTGAAGAGAGCGAGAGTGTAGTGAGTGTTTCTGGTGTCCAACAGAGCAGCTTACCTTCACTCAAAGGTCTCTCTCTGCAGGGATTCTGTCTTAATGTTGTCAGACCTTAGAAGAACTATTTGAGCGTGTCATTGGAAGTACTGATCCCATGTGTTTCACCTCAAGTACTACAGCTAGCTGAAGCAGTCTACAGGAAACAAATCTGTAGACATGGAAAACTTTTGGAATTTAAGGGATACCAGAAATACCCCTTAATTGTAAACCAATACGTAATTTCTAACATCGAGCTTCCTGATTGTAACACAAAGTACCCAATAACATTTATTTTCTTTAAAGAGTTAGTCCTCTTCACACAGCGTCCTCGTCCCCATGGTAACCATACAATGATACAATGTCAGTCACACAGACACACCTCATGTTAGGCTCCCAGTTGAATTCACTCGCACAGCTCATTGTGGAAGCAAGAGGAAGCTGAGCCAGGACACGCCTCTTGTTTTGTTCTTCTGAGCCTTGGAGGACCACAGTTAGCATCTCGTCGTCATAGAAACGAGCATCGAGGTAGCTGTACACACAGTTAGGCCTGCCGTAGAAAAACATGGTCAGTAGTTGTAGGAACACTTTCATGATCTGAAGAAGAACTTCTCATTAATGTCTCTTTAAAATAAAGGAGTAACATGAAAGGCACTCACTGGGCTGCAGCATTATCATCATCTGCACTGTCAAGGTGGTGGCTGAGGTTGATGGACACCACGCTGTTGGAGATATGTCTGTGAGAGCAAAATGAATATACGGTAGTTAAAAAAAACAGATTGAACCTGTAAAGAAAAAAATCTTGACTTCAAATTGAAATGACAAAAATGTACTTGTTGGGGTCTGTTGGTTTGCGTAGCAGGAAGAGCTTAGAGGATGAAATCTCTGGCATGCAGAACAAAACATAGTGCATTTTAGCTTTCTTGTCATTCCACCTGTGGGAAAACAAAGAAAGATCACGGTTACAAAACATCATCTGACTGCAGAGAAGGTTTAAAAAACTGCATGATTGTGTTGTTTACGCACAAGGATGGAAGCTCAAAAAGACGTGGAGTACTTTCAGAGCTGGAAAGACAATGAAAATATACAATTACATAAATCATATTACCTTTAACATTAATTTAGTCTAACAGAGGAAGAACAAGGATTATTAACAGATGATGTTGTACCTCTCTGGGACTGTGTAGAGAGGCAGAAAGATGGACTGTTTTATAGACTTCCCAATCACTTCCTGCACATAAACAGAAAGATCAACAACATGTGAAACAAAATCATTTTCTAAAATTAAAACTGCAGTACATTAGAAGTGCGGCCTACTGCGGCCTATTCATTTCTTGCAATAGTTGCGACTTGTCAAAAAAAAAGTAGCAACGTCCTGAAGAATATGCTGCTGCATCTTCTACATAACTCTAAAAGGAAATGTAAAAAAACTTTTGGAGTGAACACAGACCATTTAAATCAATGAGTAATTCAGTACTTACCATGAGGCACTTAGAAGTTTGTGTATACATATAGACATTGAAAAATAAATAGGAGTAGGGTTTTGATGAAGACTTTACAACTGATGTTTTTTTATGTATCACCTGTTAAGGTAAAGATATGTTGCATCACAGCAATAATTTAAAAAATGATTGTTTTAATTTGAGGTTTGTTGTGAAAAAAAAGAAATGGTCATGTTTTAATTTAGTATTTTTTAACAAAGAAGACTTGTGACTAGAGATTGAGACCATTGTTGTTAGAAAAATTATAACTGAGATAGTAAATTAAGTGAGAAGTTGAAATTTCCATTTCAGTTATTTATGCAGTAGTCATTTTGCCCCCTGCTGGCCATTAGAAAGATAGCATGGTGCGACATACTTCTGCTTGACTCGTATAGAAAGTCAATGCTGTGATTTGCAGAAAATGTATAAGAACTCACGGCAGGTTTCTGTAGACACTGCTCAATTACATTCTCCATCATCCTCTTGACAAAGTGCAGAGACTTCTGTGGATATGAAGGAAACAGCAGCGGGCTCTCTAGAGACAAAAGAGTCAAACATTTCATCTGTCAAATGTGACACATTGACTGACCCCAGTAAACGAGTAACAACTGACACATTTCAAGTCAAAATCAAAGTTCACCCTTCAGGTGTGAGCTCTCCTGTAAAAACTTCAGCCACTGATTTCCCTTCGTGTTGGGTGGAGACACGAGGTCATCATCCTCATCCTTCAGGTACTAAAATACCCACATAAAAAAAAAACAGACTGTTGTTAGACAGAAACCTCAGAGAAACACCGGAGGTAACACAACAGAAAAGCACTCACCTGACCAACTCGCTCTACGTTGAAGTACTTTCCTTTACGATCAAAAAGTTCTTCATTCTGTTAAACAAAGAAACATGAATAATGATGTTTACATTTGGATGGAGTTTCTCCTGGGTAAGACATTAAAAACACAGATCCTGCAGTGTGATAATTGATGACAATCAGACATTGATCTCTGATATATCGCACATAGACGGCATGGTGCTGTTATTTTATTGTAATGTGCCAGTTTAGTGATGAAGGATTATTTTCAACTGTAGTCCCTGGGCAGGTGAATAAGAGAGTACTATGGACACACAAGGTATGTTAAAGGCAGGGTTGGTAATTTAGGAAAACTAGCATGATTTTGAAAATGAAGTAGTGGAATGAAAGAGATCTGTTTCAATAGGTAGCAGAACTAAACAAAGAAATTAATTAAACTTAAAATGACTTAAATGGTAAAATGTTATAAACATTTTCAACACATCTCTCTAACAGGGCCATCATGTAGATCTCACCTCACTGAAATGCTCAGACAGGAAGTCAGCAACAAACGCGATGTCCTTCTGTGTCATCTGAGGGATTAATCAACATGTTAAAAAAAAAAAAAAATCACAACTAATTGAAACATCTCAAACCTCGACTTCAGCTGCTCTAACACCTCACCTTGTTGAGCTCTGGTGGTACATGCTCCTCACACATCCTCAGCATAGCTGTAGGGAAACAAAACACTTCAGGTAAAAAAACAACCTCTGTGACACTACACCATGAACACACATTATAATAATAATGAACCTATATTAGGATCAACAAGTCAAACTCCTCAACATTTATTGAATCTCACAAAGTCATTTTTATTCTTACCAACATACAACCATCGGAAAAAGGCTTTAAAGTTTTTCATGCTCTTGTCAATAACCCTAAAGGACAAAAAAAATGTATTACACAGTACACATGACACAATCAATGACATGCGCATTGCTAATGGTACAAGAAGCTAATGCCCACAAAGAAACCACAAAACTCACTGCAGCAGCTCGTTGGCTTTCAGAGAGAATGACCCCACAGCTGTGATAGCTCCTGAAATCATAAAAAAGCACGTGTGATCAAGGATGATGAAAAATATTTACGAGGATTTAATTCATCTTCTATGATCAGGAGATGATACCTTCTATAGCTTCTGAATCCAGGCCGAGGGGCTCGAACTTCTGCTTCCACAGAGACATGCCTTTCACCTCACTGAGGTGATAGAGCAGAGCCTCAGAGCCACTACAGACAAAACGAGGAGAGAAGAAGAGATTATAACAAAAGGATTTACAGGTGGTATGCTGCATGGAGGACTAACAGGCTGAATATACCTCTGCAGGTGGCTGATCACCAGCTTCTGGATGCTGGAATATGAAGACTCGATGGACTGGCCGAGCTTCTTCAGCCCCTGAGGTAAAGAAAAAAACAAATATATTTCAGAGAAGAAATCCTATCTGCCCTGCTCTTAAAGGAGGTCTTTAAAAACGTCTTTCTCTCACCTTGACTGTCAGCTGGTTCATGAGAAGAGCCTGCAGCTCAGGGCTTCATGGGAGCAGAGAGACAATGGTTACAAACGAGTGCATTAACTTGCACAGGATATCATACCATCATCATCTACAGCAGAAAAAGCCCGCACACATTCTTGAGCCCACTGAAATGGGCTCCCCACTCACTGAAGGGACACTTTCTCACCTTGACTGTCCCCACAGTAGAAGCTCCAGAAACTCATCCTGTACTTGAGTGCTTGTGTTCTTTTCCTGTAAAAAGAGGCATATAAGAAAACAGTTTCACTCTCTGGAGCTGATTCATTCAGATGTGATATCGCATATAGCGCTAATGATATTCAGGTGAAAACATGCCCGAACACTGTCCCTGCTCTGTGCAGTTAGCTCTCGTTATGCATCAGTATGGAGAGCAGTTTTCTGCATGGAGCTGTGCTATCATGCTGAAGGAGAACGATTTGTTCCACATAAAGTGTGTCAGGAAGACAACACTTCCAAGTTCATTGTGCCTAAAAAAAACCATGACATGAGTTTGACCTTTAAAAACAAAGCTTCCTTCCTGAATGGACCAAGCAAGGACAACTTATGTAACAGCTCCAGATCAAATCCACATGTAAATGAAGGGTCGAGCCACTGAGAGCTGCAGTATGATTTAACCCCTGAATATCTTCATAATAGTAATGTCAAAGTCATATTTACAGATCATTTATTTAAGTCTCACAGAATAGGAATTGTTTTTATGATCACTGGAATTTTTGCTCTGGTCTTCTCTTATAAAAACTGTGGCACAGTGACAGCCAGCTCTCAGCAGACGGTAACTTTATCACTAACTATGCGTGGCTGTTTGTGAATTAGTCGCTGCAGCCCTAACTGTTCGCTCTGCAGCACAGTTACGGGTGCATTTAACCCTTTGCGTGTGTTTTTCTTACAATCCTTTGGTGAATCAGGCTCTTTGTTTTGTAGCCAACTAATGTACAAACTCAGCATCTGACCTGAACAAACTTAGTGAGGCGAAGATCCATCTGCATGAGGATGTCCTCCCAGGCTTCACACATGCAGGTGAGAGAGAGGTGCAGGTACTGCAGCAGGGTGGAGATGTGGGTGAACTTGCGTGCCATCCTGGTCACCTCAGGGAGACAGTCTGACAACAAGCCTGTGTCCAGCTGGCAGACACAATAAAAGAAATACAAACACAAGAGTGAGCAGAAATTAGGAATTGAAAAAAAAGATCTTAAGGGCAGGAAGCTGAATCATCCATCTGACCTGAATGTAGCACATCTCGGGCTTGTTGTCAGCAGACCTGACTTGTGTGATGACGGACAGAGACTTAAGATCACTGGACAGACTCAGACTGCGGCAGGTTCCCGATACCTGTACAGAATTATTACATGAAAAGACATAAATGACTTTGTATTATTCCTAACCATCGATATGAAGCAGCATGCTAACAGGATGAGTGTTACCTTGGGACCTCTAGAGATGTTTAATAATTTAAGGTTTTCTGTGATCGTAATCATGGGCGTTTCTCTGAGTTTAAAATGTCACCACAAGTTAATTTCTTATTTAATTTGTTTAAGCAGTTCAATGTAGAGGCCTCCTTTCTTTTTCACTTGGGCCTGTACAAAGAACAAAAAGGTAGCAGGAAGAAGAAAAACTATAAATCTGCCCTTTGTACGAGGACAAGAAAATTAAATAAAATAATAAGTAAAAATAAATAAATCCGTAATGTTGATTTGCCAAATACGTACTTAAATACATTCATATATACACAAACCACACATCAAACATCCTCATCACACTCCTGTCCACAGGCTTTACACAGAATCCAGTTTAGAATCCTTTTAATCAAACAGCTTTACACTTCAGATCCAACATTTCTGGGAAATATCTGAAGAATTTTCAGTCTTCAACATGAAATTCAAACCTGATTCATTGATTCATTTAGAGATAGGTAACTCGTTATAATGAGGAAAAGGAGCCTCACCCCTGTCAGAGTGGTGATCTTGTACATCCCGTAAGCATAAAGCTCCACAAAGCCAGCGTCTCCTCCAAGAACCAGAACGTTCAGTCTGCAAGGAGACAAAAAACAAAGAAAAGAAATAACATGCAGTGTGTAAAAGACTCAGATAATGTTTATCAGTTTTAAAACCTTTGATTTACCTGACTTCTCCCAGCAGATTCATGATCTCATCAGACTTCTCCTCACTGTGACACAGACAGATTAAGATACAGTGTTACTATCACTAGAGTAAGAAAAGTTTATAACACAGTGATGTCTGACTAATGCGTAAAAAAAAAAAAAATTGTCTAACCTGAAGATCTTTGAAGTTGTGCTGTAGCTGTGGTAAAACAGAAGTTCAGACAATGTTATTCATTGAAACCTAGATGTGTTTAACTGGCCTGCAGGTGATGCTCGTGTTACCTCTTTGGGAGGGTCGGTAACTTGGGGAGAAATAGTTTGGATTCATCTTCTGAGTTGTAGAAGGAGCTGAGGGCACTGAAACACAACAATAAACCAAACTTTCACCTCATTCTACACAATCAGACACCCTATTGTTTTATTGATCTGAGCCTCATTCATACCTGCTCTCATCGGTCACCTCCATCCAGTGCATGCAGGTGACCGGGTTCTGCATTGGAAACACATGGAGGATCTCTGCTTTCTCCACACCACACAGCACCACCTGCTTGGTGTCTCTGACGCTGAAGGCCAAAACTGTGGATTAAAGAGAGAATACAAATATAACAGCTTCATGTTCCTATCGGGGGAACGGGACGATTAAAAACACAAAGATGTGCACAGTGTTCCCTTACTTTTTCCATCAGGGCGCCAGGCGAGCGCAGTGATCTCCTTCCCAGTACACTCAATGGGAGGCAAGCTCCAAACACGTTGGAAACTAGCCAAGCGATGAAGCAATAACTGTGAACAAACAAAAACAAGACAATTTTTAAAAAGCCATAAAAGATGCCACAGGATGTCACAGGATGAACACTGTTCACGCCTACCTCTCCAGTTGTGTTTGCAAGAGCAATAAGATCTCTTTTAGGAGACCAGGCCATGCACAGTATCTGGTTAGGAAGCTGCTTCTCCCCCACTTGTCGAAAGGCAGGCATGTTTGATCTGGAAACAAGGATAACCTAAACAAGGAAAATGGTTGTGTCACATAACCAGAACTTTATACTTAAATACAAAACTAGTTCAAATTAAACAATGATGATACCTCTTTCCATATCACTACAACAACAAGAAGTAGGCACTAGTGTGCAGGAATTTCCTTGTAAAGATTTGAAGGATTTTAACCCAAAATCCAAAACCAGCCACTGTGTGGGGAAAGAAATTAAGCTCAGATCACATACTCCTACAAAAACATCTGGCCACACAAGTCCCCTGATGGTGTTCAAAAACTCTCCTATGCACCTCCTGTCTTAAGAAGTACATGTATCTGTTTTTCATCACATGGTATCAGAGGAGTAACAGTATTACAAATCAGACTAAAGGTGGCTGGACATGAAAGCTGCAGAAAATGTAAAAAGCGTTTCTTTCCAACTCAGTTCTGTTTAAAAACACAGCAAACAAACACAATGTGTGCAGGAATCAGGGACTCAAAAGAATCATTGTTGATGATGTAATGTGTAAAAAAAAAAAAAGGCTAAAGATTGTTCTGTAAAATCTGATGTTGTTAGTCTCATGACACATGGTTATGTTCAGAGCATATTTCATTACATTTATTACTTTTTATGTATTAATTTACTCCTGAGTCTGTAAATGAAGATGATGATTACACCCCAAATTATTAGAATAATTTCAGTTTGACAGCTTGTACTTGTTTTATGTTTTGAACAACATAAACATGTGAAGATGTCATGTTAGCATCACGGAAATCCTAACACTAAACAATCCAACTTAATGACATAAAAAGCACACTTCTAAACAGCGTAATTAATGTAGTAATGTGTCTCTTACAGATCAAACCTTTCCGCTGCTGTGTTGTTGATGTGATGCTAGCAGGTTTGTTAGCATGCCGCGCTAATGCAGAGACATCATGTCTGTTTTAATCCTGCTCGACATAAAGAAACAATAAACTCCAACATGCGGTTATTACAAAGAAAGCCTCAGATACACTCTCCTCATCCTGTGAAGCACCTGGTTTAAGTTTTCATGGTGTTTTTTACAAATAGGCGGACAGCGCCATAGTTGTCGCCTGGCCAATCATTGAGCTGCAATGGAAAGCGTGAAAGGACAAACTTAATCGGGGAGAAAGCGCGCTTTGAAAACGTTCTACATTTTAAAGTCAAAAACAAAGGAAAACTTCCTAAATGGGATTACAGTGAGTACGAGCTTATTTAACCAAACAGCGGTATACATGTGTACTCGGAAAGCTTCAGTATCATAGATCAGTATTTCTGTTATGTAAGCCATTTTGAGTAAATGGTTGTAGACACTCACAAGTGTCTAGTGATAAAAATGCCAATAACAACTTCACTGTTCATTTGAAAGCATTTATTTTAAACCCGTTTAAATCAGATCTAAATATCTTCCTGCCTGTAATCAAGTAATAGTTACAGTCTATGTTATCAATGAATAACTTATAATCTTTGTTCTAAATTTGCTCATTGGCAAAGATTCAAACTTGCTACTTTACTGCCCTCCTGTGGGCAAAGGTGGGAAATGCAACACGTTAAATCTAAATAAAAAGCTAACACCATTAATGCTTTGATTGTGAACTTAAACTTCCTGCAAGTACTTTGTGATACATCGTACGAACTAAAGCAATCAGACATGAATTAAAGAACATAAACAATTTTTTCAACAAAACTAATTAATTTTTTCGTCTGGTTGCCGAGTTTAAAAAAAACTCAACATCATAAATATGAAGTCATTTTTTAGCATGAATATTAGAAGTATTTACATTCATTACAAATCTTCTTTTAAATTTTAGAGCTGTTTTAAGATAACTTCATTTGGGGTATGTTTAATATTTACATGTATTTACCTCTATAAATATTTGTCATTTTATTTGCCACTTACCAAAGTTGCTTACGTGTGTTACTGCCCTCCTGTGGTCATAGGGAGGAACTGCAGTACATACATTTATCAAGCTAGCCAGAGTAGAACCATATTAGCTTTTCCGTGCCGTACTTTCAAAATAAACAAAAACTGGCATGTTCAGATAACAACATTCACGGTGAAGCAGGAAAAACAAAATATATTGTTACAAGTTATTATTCAAACAAATTAATTTAAGTATTAACTTCGCTTAAAAAATATTTTATGACTGAAATTATCGATTTTTGTTGAACTTTACTACGGGTCCTCTCCAAAATAAAAGTAGTATTTTTGAATTACACCTAACATAATAATCTATGTTGTGAAATTTTTGTATGTAAATGTAGGAGTATTGGAGTATTAATTATATATTACAGAGTAAGTTTAAAGGGTAACATTACTGACAAGGTATCCCGTCTACTTTGCTGCTAAGACATGAACATGGTTGTTTTCCCTCTAGTGGACAAATTGAGGAATTGCATGTTTTAACGTACCAAGACCACCGGTAAGTACTTTCAGTTTTCTGTGAACAATTCCAGGCTACTATTTTGCTATAATATACAAATACGCTAAATTTAGATTAAGTTACAGGAAAATAAAAGTTACGATTATATAATTTATTTTACATTTATTTAATTTATTTATTTATTCTGAATTAATCAAGCCCCAACTGCAAGTTGTACGGTTGTACATGGCCGTTGACCTGAGTGATTTCAAATCATACCTGTTCACTGCCCTCCAGTGGTCAAAGGGAGGAATTGAAGCGCACATAATAATCAAGCTAGCGAGCATCAAACTACATTACTGCTGTGTTTTCCAAGATAAAGATTGTAACTTTTACAAAATAATCAGGGTTTGCAGTTTGAATCTAGAACAATAAATATATAAAGACTATTTCAGAATGCTTTTCAGATAACACTGATAGAGATCTCATCACTCTTTTAATAACTTAATGTATTACCTTGTAACTTAACATTTTGTGGTACCATGAAGTTCTTTCAGCTAGTTGTAGATTAATACATTTGTTTATTTATCGTGAGTTGAGACATGACAGCGTATTATGACTTTCAGAGAATATTTTGAAAGAGTCTTGGGTTTTAAGACATCGTCTAACAGGAATAATAATATAACGTGTTAAATTGTGAAGTATTCCATAGTTGTGACATTAACACACCGTAAAGTGGCCACACAGAAGTGTTGCAGCATATACACTGATCAAGGTAGCGATGATGAAAATAAAGCAGAATGCTGAAGATTTCAAAATAAGTTGTTAAAAACACTCGATATGGAATTTACATGAATTAATCACATTTTGAAAGGAGAAAAGCAACAAAGTACACTGTCTACTTATAATATGTAATAATAATTACGTGTGTGTGCGTGTGTGTGCGTGTGTGTGTGTGTGTGTGTGTGTGTGTGTGTGCTCAATGAAGACAATAATTACCGTGGAAATTCCTTCCAAACGTATCACTGGCACTTGACTGTTATCAGTGGATTGATGAAGAACCAGAATAGCTTTAAGAGAACAAAATGTGATAGTGGCCTAGAAATAGACCAAGAGAGGCTGGACAGATGTCTGATATCTCTCTTACTGACAGTTTTGTCTTCCATGTTTTGTTGTTGAGCAGACTGCGTACTGTTCCCTCTTGGAATATTTGAATATTTACAGCCCCATTTAAACAGCATTGACCTTGACCAGGCTGGCCTTATGATAACTCACTGATGGGTACGACAGATAGGTGGGTGGTCTTGGGTCATCAGGTCATCTGAAATGGAAACATTGGCAGCACTAAATAGCTGCTGTGACTTTAATGCATGTGTTACATGACATGTCTTTACTTCTCACAACCTCCAAAGCCTAACCAATGTAGGATTATTGGGATCAGAAATCAATTTGAGTAGTACATACATATAGCTGCTGATATAGTGAAATATAAGAGCTTAAATCGAAATTCACCTATTGCAATGACGTTGTACTGTTTGAACTATATGAAAGGTCTCAAAAGGCCTTTTTATAAGCAACTAACTTTATTGAAGACAGATGATTTATTCATTTTCATCAGTTTTCTGCGGAGCTGTGATGCTCTGCTGCATTAGCTGCAGACAGCGCTGAGAAGATTACAGACTATGTGCGAGATGATGTACATCCTGCTGCTGAAAATGTATGTGATGACTGCAGATTAAATGATTCTGCAAACCTGAAACATTTACACGATGAGCCTAAGTGTTCATGTCAATTGATGTGCACCTTCCTCTTCAAAACAAACTGAACATAAAGATCATTTTCTGTATGAAATCTGTGATGGGTTTCTGTTGCATGTTGCTGCAGACATGGCTGAGAGGACTGTAAACAAATGTCAGAGAGCTCTGCTCGACAAACTGCATGATGGCTTCATTTCTAAAACGCCTCCAAAATAATTTTGAAATTGCAATTCACCAGAAAACATAAATATACCAATAAATCCTTCAGCTTCTAACAACAACAAAGCCAGTGATGGCAGAATGTTTGACATGTTTTTTCTGCAACCTGTTTTTTAAGAGTGGCCACAGCACACTGAGAGCTCCTGAATGTTACATGAGCCCCAGTTGGCTCGTTGACGCATGATTTTGTTTCCGCTTTATCAAGTATTACAACATGCTGCAGTGTTTTTCCTTGTTTACTGTGTTTGATTAACAAATAACTTGTTCCCCACCACCTTCTGTTCCCCCTGGTCCACCATAACACTCTCTCCTCTTGCCAGGACTCTGGCTGTGAAACCTGAGCCGGGGGCCAAATATAGCCCCACACGATGAGCAGTTAGGGACCGGGACAGATGGGACCGCAGGCCACTGCAGAGGCAGTACGCAATTGGACCCTGAACTCGAGAGATCCTGCCGACTGTCTGACCAATAAGGCTGCTCTTCTGGAAAGAGACGCTTCTTTTAGGCTCTTTTTTCACAAACAAGACAAAACCTGGAACCACAAAAACAAGGAGGACAGATATCCCGCTTAAAGGTAAGCAATGTTCAATATTTGACAAAAGTATTAAAAGCATTAAGCTCTGGTTTATCATTGTTTATGGAAAAGCTTCAACCATTCAGCTGACAGTACAGCTGTTTAAAATGCAGGATCAGTTATTTTAAACAGGACACACACAGAGTGTTATTTTAAGGACATTTTTATATCCTCTCACTTTGAATGTGTTTTACATATAACAAGTCAAATAAATATATTTGTAAATATTAAAGTAAACTTGACTTTATGAATCCTCTGACAGCACTGACAGTTGTTAACTTTCCGTCTATCAGTCTCGTTGTTTCAAATTTTCCACATTCATATTTAATCAGTTTTACTCCATTTCTATTGTAGTCTGCACTCTGAGGGACTTTTATTTTTGCCATGATGTTTGATGCTTTAACACAGGAGCTGTCATTGTACCTCGGGTTGTACCTGTGTGTGTTTGAAGGTAGCTTCAGTGTCCAGGCCTTCTCTCTCAGCTCAGGGTGGGTGAGGTTGTGCTGCTGCTGTGAAACATAGCCCAGGGGATTAAAAATAACAACAGCTGGTCTTCAGGACGCCATGAGGCTCTGAGTGTCACACCGTGTGGGATGCATGTATCTCCACTAACAGCTACACAACATACTGTTCATCTAGAGTGAACGTCTCAAGAGATGAGTGGCAGACGAGACAAGAATCTGACCTTTTTTAAAATACTACATGTGACCTACTTTACATCTGAAAAGAAAAGTGGTACATTATTTTTAACCCAGCATGTAAGGATGCATCAGGTGACAAAATATACAGCAGCACATGTGCTGTCTGCTCTTGTGAACATTTATTTAGGATTATGATTTAAGAAGCCCTCTGCCTCTGAAACAAAACTCTCAATCTCTTGTGTGGAAACAATGTGGAAAAATATTATGATAATAATAATTTATCCTTTATTGATCCCGCAAGGGGAAATTCAGTTTTACACTCTGTCTAATGAACATGCTACACAAAAATGAGAACTAATCAATAACAGTCTGATTTGAGGAAATGTTTATATATTTTGTGTTTAGTGTTACATTTTGCTTAATGTAATATTTCTTAATTTATTTTTCATCTATCCTGTATTTTAACATGTTTTATATTTTAATGTCAGTCATGTCTTTGAATGTTCATAATGTTATAAATGCTTTTTTTGTCTGTAAAGCACTTTGAATTGCTTTTGTATGAATGCTGATCTATACACTTGCCTTGCCTAGATTGTGAATATCCAGAAGGTAACTGGGATGTACTTCCATTAAAAATAACAAATTAGCTTTTCAACCTCTTCTTCACTTACATGACTGTTAGGTAGTGTCACACAATATAATAGAAAAGGCCTAACTTCTCAGTGTATGTAATATAGCAAGTTGGTTTATGTTGTTTTTAGATGTTGGGACTCTCTGTAGTGATGGAGAGGCTGTGGTTCAGTGGTAGAGTGGGATGTCTCTCAATCTAAAGGTTGGTGGTTTGATCCCAGCTCCTGCAGTCAACATGCTCAAGTGTCCTTGGACAGGACACTGAACCCTTAAGTTTCCTCTGACGGCATTTCCATTGGTGTGTAAATGTGGGACTGGACGGGCACTTTGTAAAGCATCCTCTGTCATCACTGTGTGTGACTGTTGGTGAAGAGGTGAATGTGACGTGTTGTGTTAAAGCGCTTTGAGAGTTCAGCAGATTCAGGAAATGCACTGAGCACAGTCCATTAACCATTTTTAACTGGGAGAGCTTCAAGTCACTGGCATCACTCTTTTTATGTGTGAGGTGACATCAGGCTTGACTAACTCATTTGAATCAGTTTAGAGAAATGTGCCATGTCGTTGGGCGATTAGACTCTGTCATGTTTCTTCATGTTCTCAGAGGGGTAGTGAGGCCGACAGCTGGCCAGGATCCCTCCCTGATGGAGAGGATACACTGATGGTGGTGGTGCTGATGGAAGGATGCAGGATGTGATGAGGAGTGGGCTTAGGAGGAGCTGGATTTGTTCAGATGAAATGGAGGTGACTGGATGGAGCATTGCAGTAAACCCACTATGATGACAGACTGACTGTGGCAGAGAGAGAGCATAGATTTTAAGATTTGACAGCAGCAGGATGATTGGTTGCTGGAGGTCATTGCAGACTCTGATTGGTTTAGTACTTAGATAGTAAAAGTGATCAGCTGATCACCAGACACCAGACCGGGGAGACAGAAGGAGACAGTGAGTGACAAAGTTTTGTAAGGAATAATGAATGAATGTAAGCTTCATTTGTTTACTGTTGTTACTATGCAATATAATATAATAATAATAATACATTTATGTAAAATTGTTAATTATTAATAAAAAAAAAAAATCCCCTTCAAATATTGACCAGTGTACCTCCAGAATGCTTAATTCATCATCGTTTCAGTTATGAGTCCATCAGGAATGAATGAAACTATAAGGATTCATCAGACTCCCTTTGTTTATTCTATTGGCAACCAAGAACAGAGCTTTCTAGTAACTGAGCTTTCTACTGGGACTATGACTTTAGAGGAAAATTTCCTCTGTATTGAGACCTTTTCTTGAAAACACTCCTCTATTGATGCAACTACTCTACCTGTAGTAAGGGGGAAACTAATAGACCATCCACGTTCGACTAAATGAAAGAATGAAATAATGATAATACTGGTATCAATGAAGGTAAAAATGAATGAAATTATCAGAAATGTGTAAGTGACATAAGAAAATAACCGGCACAACACGTTTTCATTAAAGCAATGTGAAGTAACCAGTCTTTTCAAGATGAGTTTTATCTGCAGGTCTACATAGAAGAAGTTTGCTTTTAGTCGAGTATCTGATTTCTCTAAACTCAAAGACAACCCGCAGGTCTCTGACCTCGTGTATGAAATGAATCAGACTGTTTTGATTGCTGATTTAGCTAATCTAGAAAAAGTAAAAGCCCCTGAGTGCAGGAGTCATCAGACATGTTCAATGTTTTACAGGAAAAGAAAATGCAGTTAATTTGATGTTAAAAAAAAAATTAGATAATGATTTATTTAAATATATGTGTCAGATAAATGAACATTAAACAGGCATGCTGGATTAAGACTCAAAAAAGGTTTTTCATGGCAACTTTAAATCCCTACTCAAAAAAATCAACCACTGGATCAATCATTTAGAAAAAAATGTTCTTATTTATATATTATTTTGTTTGTGGCTCAGTTGGTGGAGTCGTCGCCTCTCAACCGGAAGGTTGAGGGTTTGATCCCCAGCTGAGCAACATGTACGATGTGTCCTTGGGCAAGACACTTAACCCTGAATTGCTCCTGCTGCTTCAGTGGCGGTGTATGAATGGATTAGTTACTTCTGATGGATGATACTACATAGCTATCACTACCATCAGTGTGTAAAAGGGTATGAATGTGTAGGTGTGACATGTGGTGTAAAAGCACTTTGAGTAGTTGGAAGACTAGAAAAGCAATATATAAGCTCAAGTCCGTTTACCATTTATTTCCAGCTGTAATATTGGAGTATGTGGAGTAAATGACATATGAAGTAGCTGCACTATTGAACAGAGTGATGTCCTGTCAGACAGACTAAGTTAAAAAATGCCTGTCATGTTGACTGTGACCTCAGTGAAGGCCTCTGCTAATACCCACCAACTGTGTCCGGACAGCAGGCCTGAGTCATCCTGCCATCAGCGGCTTCCAGAGCACATGAGCTAGTATTGTGAAGTCTATATTTGAAGTTTGACTCCTTTCAGATCTCATGTACACTTTAAACTCTGCTGCTGTCTACAGTGTGTAAACTGCTGCTTATTGACAGCTGATGTGTATTTCAGGATGCAGGACGGGAGTTGGAACCAGCCACTCCCCATCTCTCTGCTGCTGAAGGACCCGGCAGGAGGCGGGACTTTGGAGGGCGATGGCGGGGTGTTTTCCGAGGCGTCCTCTGATGGGGAACTGTACCTTGACTCAGTCACAGAGCTGGATTCTGGAGACGGGGACTTTGCAGATCTCACTGCCTTCTTGAACGCAGATGAGATCAACATTAGCCTGGACCTGGCCCGGGAGGCCTTTGGAGACCCATTTGAATCTGTAGATCCCGGCCCCTCTAATCCTAAACCTCAGGAGCAGGCTCTCCAACATTTTCCCTCGTTTCCTGTGGCCCCCCAGACTACTCCAAACCTCAGTAAAAACCAAAACCTGCAGCACCAGACCAAAGCCCCCTGCCCGGATGAAACTGCAGCAGTCAGTGTCTCCTCGAGCCAGATCGCGCCCCTCAGCAAACCCCTACAGGTGTGCAGTGAGACTCCGTCCTCCACTGAGAAGGTTGTCTGCCACAAACCGCTCCATCCAGTTTATAAGCAGGACAAACCCAGACTACTTCATGAAGGCCTGGAGCTGACCGATCGGGCAGCGTCAGCCTCAGAGTTCTGCAGCAGAGCGGCCACATTCATCGAGGAGCTGTCCTCCATCTTTAAAGGTGCTGCACAGGTAGAGCCCCTAGTAGAGGAGGACTCCTCCTCTCCTGATAGTGGCTATCTGACTCCAAGGAGCCGGCGACCGGCCCCGCAGGGCTCGGTGTCTGCGCCGCCTCTGCCTCCCAGCCAGCAGGAGGAGATGCATCAAAGTCACCCAGCAGTGAACCAGGAGCCCTCGCCTGGAGGCCTGACAGGGGCGACAGCTCCTGAAGGGTACTCTGGAGGTCTGACCAGAGACGGGTCACTGTCTCCTCCCTGTTTCCTGCATAAGCTGAAGAGCCAAGAGGTGGCAGAAGGAAGCCCCATCCGTCTGGAGTGTAGAGTCAGAGGAAACCCCCAGCCACTCGTCAGGTAAGGTTTGATCTCACCAACAATGTCCGTCAAGCAGCTGCTCTTTCAGTGGTATAACATCTGAATCCTACACCTCAGCAGATGGCGTTTGCCTGGTTTTCATGGAACTAGAGACTTTGAATTTAATTAACCTGAGTGCTGTCTGGACTTTAGGTCCATGTTGGCTTTAAAGGTTTAAGGATTGACTGGAAACATGTCACTTTAGTAGGGGGTTAGGACTAGACAGGGGGCTTCTGTTTGAGGTTATAAACAGGTACTGCTTCCTTAAACATGTAAAGTTATGCTGTAAACTAAATGATCTGGCTGTATGTTATAAAACACATCAGTGGTACTTTGAGTAATGATAAATATAATGAAATGAAGCGTTTATTACCCTAAGTGGATTTGCCCTGCACAGAGAGCATCCCTGGTCACTCCTACCTGGTCACTCCTACCCGTTCACACCCGTTCCCTTATGGCAGAGGTTGCTATAGGTTGTTATGTAAAGTGTCCCATCAGTATTAACTAATTACATTCATACACATTCATACGCCGCCGATGAAGCAGCAGGAGAAACTTGGGGTTAAGTGTCTTTCCCAAGGACACGTTAGACATGTAGTTGCAGGAGCTGGGAATCAAACCCCTGACCCCCTGGTTGAGAGACGACCCACTCTAGCACTGAGCCATAGCCGCCCAAAATACATAATTTAAGCATCCCATAATCACATGTAAGGGGTTTTAAGTTGCAAAGTTCCTACCGTATAATCTGAGCATGTTGAGCAGCTGATGCTGTGTAGTACAAATGAAGTGAAGCATCTTAAATCAGAATCAGAAATACTTTATTAATCCCAGTTGGTCATAACACCAAAAATAACAATAATAATAACAATATAATAAGCATAAGTACCAAGCGAAAGCAATAATAAAGTATTAATAAGTAATAAGCTGTGTTCAAGCGCAGGTAATTGAGAATATTTACAATATTTACAAATATGAATACACACTGATGGATTAAAGTCCTCATCCCGGGTGACCATGTATTTTTTTTAAGGTTATGTTGCAATTCTGTAATAACAACAAACAAGTACCATTAATTTAACTGTATTCATGTGGAAGAAAATATCTCACAGATGGATAATGTCTCTGTAAAAGACGGTGTCACTTCACCTGAAATCAGGTGTCACTTCACCTAAATCAAGAAGGTGACATTAGTGGAAACCTCTGTGCTAACATTCAAAGTTTTAAAACATAGAATGAACATGATGAACTGACGTATACAGTATATGAACAGACCTTTATCTTAGTGGTTGTGTTAGTGATGTGGACCAGAGCAGGCGTGCCTTGTTGGCCTGCCTGTTAGAGATAAGGTGAGCGAGATGGGAAGTGGCCAAGAGGTGAGAGTAATCCCTGTGTTGACAAGCAGAGCACCTGGTTTCGGGTTTGAGGGGGACTTCCATTCCTACATTAGCACATTTGTCCTCTGATACCTGTGCCAGTTAAAGCAGGGAGCCTGTCTCATTCCTGCCTGCATGAACTGTATCCTGGTTATTTGCACCGGTTCACCAGCAAACTAAAAATACACTCCTCTCTTCTTTCTAGATGTGTCAGCTTCACAGCTCAGTCAACATACTTGTTGTTTACTATAGAGACATACCTGTACTAATTAAAGTCAGAATATATTTGAATTTCATGATGTCAGGGCTGTATTTATGCTCTCTGCATGGTGGGTCAGTTCCTCCTGATCGTTTAGCTTTTCACCATAATGTCCATATTGATCACTTTTGAACTTTTTCAGAATATGTCCTTTGCAGTTCTGTTTGGATGTTAATGAATGTCAGGATCTTTTTATTGCAGACTTTCCTGGCATCAGTGTTCCGTATACCAAAAGTTCAAGATGTCTTCTGCATCATTTTTCTCATATTGAGCTTTACTTCAATATTATATTTTCATTGTTTTGTGACCTAACATAAATTTAAGCCAACATGCCTTTAAACAAGTCTTTCTCTGGTCTGATTTTACCTGAATTGATCTTGCTAAGGGTCAGGTGCAGGTACTAGAGGTGCAGTTTTGAGGTGTTTTTGTAATCAGAAGACAAAAAGTCAGCAGCCCCAGGACTTGTATCTCCGCAGCAGGCTATAAGGGGGGCCTCCTCTGCGGCTGTATAAATAGTCTCCAGGCCAACAGGAGCCAGGCACAGGAATGCAGGCAATGCAATGACATGGCGCTTTCAGTCTCCAGGCTCCACATCTCCCGACACCTTCTTGGGGAATATGAAGGAAGTGTGTAGCATGTTAAACCACAGGGAAACAGGAGAGCCCAGACACTGTGGCCATACTAACGTTATATAACAGAGAAAATGAACAAAATGCAAAGAGAAATTAAATTATATTACATACTTTACAATGTCAAAGACAGTTGAGTTCCAGAGTCTATGCAGAGTGGAGTGGACTGTGGCTGTTGTGGAAGACGTGGGTTGGATTAAGAGATGCACTGATTGAGAAGATCTGATACCTAAGTTTAAAATAACAATTTAGCTGATCCCCGATTCCAAAACGGATGTGTTTTTCATCCCTTATTCAGGTGTAAGACTCTCACACTTCCAACATTTTCTCTCATTTGACCATCAAAACAGATCAGAGTTTGTCCAACAGGTAACTTCTTCTGCCAAAAGAAAAACTTCCTAGTTTGCCAGAATTAAACTGATATGACACAACAGATAAACATCAGCTACTGACATCTGTGCATGCCACAATATTTGTCGATGGCCGATCTCTGTCAACAGTGGGGCTGTAATCTTTTTAATACAGCAACTTAAGAAACACAATAAGAAACATTTAAAATATGACCCGGTAATGTTTGAGCACTTTCTAATCCCCCCTTCCCCCATGTGCAACCGCCCCAAAAAAACAAAACATTTTCATTACTTAATCGTACTATACTATATCCTAATGAAGCACTGGAATGACAATATTACAGCATCACTGTAGCTGTCAGATTTGAACATGTGGAGGAAGACAACAAGTTATTTATTTGTATTTATTTAAGTATTTTTTAAATTGTATTTTTAGGCCCTTTACATTTATTAGATAGGACAGCTGAAGAGAAACAGGAAACGATTGGAGGGGACCAAAACATGTTTATATGTTGGATACTTGTGTTGCTTGCACTTGGAAGAATGTCAAGATTGTATGACACATAAAACAAATCAGACAAACAAATCAAGTGTAATACTTTTTGTCCAAAATATTCATAACTTTCTCATGGATCAAAGCTCATTATGATCGTTATGTTGTTAAAAGTGAAACAAGCTTTTGTTACAGAAGGAGAGGGAAAGATGTTTGGTTATTTTTTCCTGAAGTTTTTATGATATTTGGCTGCAGTGCTGCGTCTTTCACTGACATGCACACAGTTTTGTGTACAGGGGGAAAGGAGTGCTGTCACTTCTTGTGTGGGCTTTTTTAGTGGACACTAGATGGCAGCAAATTATATATTTTTTCACACAAAACTAATAATCTTCTGGTTTATTGTATAAATTTAAAACATGAACACACAGTGGCATCATAACAACTACATTTTTAAAAGCTGTTCATTATCTGTACTTCTACCTCATTAGTTGCCTCATGATTAAATCAGTTTTAGTTATGCAGGTACGACTGTAAGTGTTTATATAGATGTGTCCTCCTTTTGTTTATTGTCCTACATACAGCCCTTTAAGATCTGTTTTATCTGAATGTTATGAAGAGTGTGTGTGTCATATAATGTGGCTTTACTTTTGTCGTATTGCAGCCTGTGTTTTCCACACACACAAAAAACACTTTCATAGGCCTATTGATAACATTCAATATGGTGTCTACAGTCTTTTGTAGAAACTAGAAAGACTACAAAACCATTGCAAAGTGTGAATTAAAATCTCTTGCTTAGTTATTAATAAATATCCTTTTGACATGGTAGCATAATTTGGGGTCTAATATGATGCTCATTTATGGTAAAATGTCTGTTTTTTTACTGTCCCATAAAGAATATAGGATTTACAGTTTTTGCTTTTTTCTCCCAATGGGCTGCACTTTTCATTTGCTAGACTATTCAGTCAGATGTCTCACCTCCTCATCTCATCTTCGCACCTCACTTCCTCGTTGTCTCAGACTAATGGGTTTGTGTTGAGCTTATGCCAGCATTTTGCACGGCCGGCTAAAGAGACATTCCTGATGGTTTGGTGCTGGGAGCGGCCTTCCGTGGTCAGCCACAATTTGTCTCGGCCCGAGAGTCTTTAACGGTGCCGAGCACCGGGTATTCTTCAGTGTGTTCTCATGCTCCTAACACACTATGTTTTATGCAATGCTCTTTTGTAATGATGCATCTCTGGTATTGGGTCTGCGTGTGTGTTATACCCTTGTGGGAACCACTTTGTGCATTTTTGCTGTCTGAGGTCATTTTTGGCCTTTTTTGTACTTCTTCAAGAGGCGAGTTTGAGGATTAGGGATAGATGTCTGCATGTAAAAGTATGGGATGTATTCAGTCAGTGTGTGTGTTTGTGTTGTGGAAGAGAGCATTTCTAAACAAAACTGATGGTGTGAGGTCGGCTTGTGCAGAACACCAAGCACGCTGCGGGTTCCTGATGACTGATTCCTCACTATTTAAACGCATAGCAAAGCAGACGGAGAAAATCCATCTTTGATTATGGCATGCTCAATGCTCTATTTTAGGCATTCTGTCTGATGCTCTTCCATGTTATTACCCTTCTAACTGCCTGTTGTGAAAATTCAAGCACAAGCATTTCAAAACTTGAGTTGAAATTCAATGAAATAAAATAAGCAGCCTCAGTTTTAAGCGAATGCACAAAACCACAGGGGGAACTTTTAGAAAATGAGAGGTTGCCAGTGAATTTTGCTCTGAAATCTACACAAGGCGGTGTCTCAAACATCAATAAGAAACAACATTCCAGACACTGGTGATGGAATCTGCAGCCAAATATACAGTATGATCCCTTGTGATCAAAGACACCTGCAAGCACACAGACATAC